ATCACATCAAATTACCTTTTTTACTTGATGATACTACTTATCTCTGTTCTGTTCTGAATTGTAGCATCTCTGTCACACGCATGCACCTCTACTGACTGGACTCTTTAATCTCTCATTTAAGTTACGTCTGGAACATTGACTGCCGTGATGGGAGCAAGGTTTTACAACTCTGGAAAATTCATGCCTGCAGGGCTAATTGCTGGTGTCAGGTACAACACAGTATACTTCTTAAAATTTATTTTTTAATCTCCTGTATGTGATTTTTTTTTCTTAATTATACTGAGATAAGTACTCTGTACATCTTTTTTTCTTTCTATGCATCACTTATGTGGAAGTATCTCAAAATGGATCGGCAAATTGTTATTAATTCTGTGAACTGACCAAGTGTTTTTCCCCTTACACAGTTTGCTGATGGTTGGAAGATTAGCACTGAAGATGGTGGATAAGCCCCATGAAAAGTAACTGTTCACTTTACAACTTAATATCTGGATAAGGAAACCTAATAATGAAGCTGTATGAATGTAGAAAAAATCTGAAGCAGTTTTCTACATGAAGACAGCTTACTGTTTTTTCCTTTTTTTTTTTTCTTTTTTTTAATGGAAAGAATAATGATGGGGTGGATAGTTACTATCTTCTAGCGGACAGTACAAGACATACAAGGTGCCATTTATTTCAGTGATCTGGTAGAGCTATGACTGAGTAGCGAAAAATTTGGTCCTGGTTTTATTTTTTTGAAATACATTTCAGTGTTTAACACTTCCGATTTTTTATATTCTAAAGTATACTGATGATGTGTATGAAGTACACAGGACCTGCAATCTAGAAAGTACCCACAAAGTGTCACCAGCAGAAATGTTCTTAGTACAGCACTGTATCTCATGCCTTTTATAGTGAGTATTACAGCACACTTTACCTGCTGTATTCTGAGTAGAAAATGCATTATGTCTATAACACCAAACAGATCCTACCTTTTTATGACGCTAAAATGTTGCTTTTTTTACAAGTAAAACTTATTACAAACCTTTACTTGATGTTTTTGTATTCTTTCTGTCTGTATGGGAGACAAAGGTTATCTTTTCTCTCTGTTTTTTTTTTTTTTTAACCTTACCTTCATGTTCCTACCTCAGTGGAAGTCTGTGCAGTGAACTGCTATACAAATGTTGTCTTTTCATGGTGTTTAAAAATACATTTTAAATGGAAGAAGATTAAATTTGGGGTCCTCATTAACACATTAATTTAATTTTTAGTGATTTACAATTATTGATATACTAGGGTACTACATTTTGTAACTCATATTCTAAAGTGATATTTTACATGTTGACTACTGAAGATTTACTGAAGTTATCAAATTAATTCCAGGTTTTTGAACGTATTTCATGTTGTGACCTCCTTGTTTCTGGGCACTTAACCTGTAAATAACCAGATTTACAGGGAGCAGCACTGAAAACACGTGAAAACATCTCTGAAATTCTAGTCTCAATTAAACTGTACTCTGTAAGTAAAATATAGAGTACATTAAGTAAAATCCAATAGAATATTAGTAATGGCCTTAATACTTTTAAACCAGTGAATGTAACTTAGTAGAAAATTCTATCACTGCTACAGAATTTTCTAGAGCCATTATAGAATTAAAGACATTACTACCCTTTTTCATACTGCATGCGTGTTTAGCTATGTGCCTAAAAGGTAATTCTACAAATTTTATTTCCTATTTTACTATTTAGGTTTTGGCGTGTGGGGGGGGGTGTTTCTTTTTATTCCAGTTAGGGTGGTTTTTATGCAAACTGAGATTATTACTTTTGCATTGAATTTGCTGTATGCATGCCATGACTTCAGGGAAGCTTCATGCTGAGAGCCAGACTGTATCTGGATGTAACATTTTAAGAGTGATTTATTTTTAAATTATTATTTTATTTTTAGGAAACTAAGAGTTAAAATGATTGTTAAGGCTAGTGTTTTCAAAGCAGACCCTGAAACTAAAAAGAAGTTAGTTAAATATTGCTAAAAGTATCAGCATGATCTGGAAAGACTGCTGCTTTTTAGAGAGATGGGGGAATGAGGAAACCAGGCTGGCGCAACACAGACTGAGTCACCAGGCTTCAATAATTCAGAGCTTAGTCATTCCCCCAGAACTTGATACCTTACAGCACTGACAGAACAAGAGATTTTGGGTTAGCAAATCCTTATGCCCAAGAGTAAAAGCCCAGGCCCACTATTCCATGTTACCGTCAGTGCCTGGTGGAAGGTGGGTGGCAATTGGTAACATGAAGTACCTCGCTCCTCTCAAGATTGCAAGAGGGAATTTCCAATTCATTTTGGTGGATAAATCCTCTCTTCAAAGCAGGAGCTGGAAAACCATGCGGTCAGTCACGGTGCTGGGAGCTGCTGGCACTTGGTCATCCCCAGCTGAGGGTCTGTCCGTGCTGGAACTAATATGGCCTGAAGCATGAAGCAATTACCATTTGGTGGTGTTAGGATTCCTAGCTTCCTGGCATTATACTCATGCTTTCTGACTGAACAATTTAATCCACCTGGAGAAATGGGAGGGGAAAGAAAGATTGGGAGAACCTCCAGGCAGTTACAGCAGAAGGAAAGCCTTCGTTCATCCAGAATCCTTGCAAGGAAAAACTGCAGAATGAGGCATCAGTAGTGGCCCAGAGACATCGCCCGCTTCCTTGAAGTGCCGTGATGGAGCAAATCAAAGTGCTCGTGCTTCTGTGCTGTATCCCAGCTCAAGTCCAGCGCACAGGTGACTGTGGATGGTTTTTTGGACCCATGCCTTCCTTCTGAACCTGTGAAATGGAGATGTTTTTTTTTTCTCTTCCCCTGCTTGCAGTTTGTCTTCTACAACCCTGCCTTTTACTGGGTGCTTTTACAGTGCATGGCATGTTCGCTGCCCTAGGAGCAAGGAGCAGTAGGTTTGATGCAGTTTTACTGCTGGTAGTTAACAGAGTCTGCCCTTGTTTTAATTGCCCCGCCTTCCTCTCACTGAGAGTAGCTCTGGAGGAGGCAACAGTAGGTCCTACAAGAACACTCACCTGGGCTTGAGATGGGTGCTGAAAGGGTGCTGAAAGGCTCCACGTTGCCAGCTGCAATAGGGTCCTGCTGCAAAGTTTCCCGTTGTCCTTTTTGGGGAACTAATTTCACGCAGCATGACACCAGACATCCTGCCTTCCAGCACGTAACTGGACAGTTCTGGTTGTTGGCCTGCTCTGCAGAGGCAGCACAGTGCTTACTGAGGAATAAAGGGGAACTGTGCAAACACTGCTCAAAGCAGTGGCAGCAGTTGTACAGCGGCTAGGCTCACGCTGCAACGCACCGCTGTCACCACAGGGTGAAAGGAGACGTGCCACTTCTAGGCTCAGGCAGCAATGCAGTGGTAAGCTCAGTCTCTGTGACAATGCCAGGACTCGTTTTTATTTTCCTGGGCCCCTCTAGTTATTCTAGGAGTGATACAACCACAGGTTGGAGGGATTGTAAGGGAACAAGGAGCCTGGCTACTGCTGGGATCCTCTCAGCCTATGCAGCCAGGATACCATCCTCAAAGAGCTGATGGCTTGGGAAAGAACTGAGAGAATGGGATGAGGATCAAGCTCTACTCATCAAGCTCCTCTTGTCCCTCCTGGGCAACAGAGTTGAGAAAGAGGGACCTGGCCTTACCCAAGATAGCTGCAACAGGGTTACTTTCCCTCTGCTCAAGGAACTGCACCTACTGCCTCCAAAAATCCTAAGACAACAAAGACCTGGTCTTCAGACTGTTAGTAAAAGCTGAGAACAGCGTTAATTAAATAGGAAGCTTCTTGCTGCTGGGAATGCAGCAGAAACCAGACATCTATAAAGGCTAAAATGACAGAAACCCAACAGTCTTTGAATAGTAGTATTTATCTAGAATTTATCTATTTTTATCTACTACTTATCTACTATTTATCTACTAGTGATAGGAGACTCTTGTGACCATGTCACAACTTCCCTGACAATTTTCAATCGTGGCCAAGATGTACTATTGATTGAATACACACCAAAATCAATTAGTCTCTTCTGCTGCTGTTTGCACACACTGATAAATGCTGACATGTTTGGTCACACTCTAGTCAGCGACAGTCCTGAACTGCAAGGATTTCTTTAGGCAGAGATTTCCAATTAAGATCTGTTTTGCAATGCTTATATACACACCTGTCACATGTCACTTTTCAGGATATTTTGGAGTATAAAGGTAAGTCTAAATTATGGCAGGTGAGGCAATAATACAGAAGATTTTAGTCTAACTTTCAAGAGCTCTTCAATCTCAGATCATTTCTTGAATTCCTTTGAGCCATCCTGCACTCCACCTGACATACACAGCCTGTTACTCACTTGTGTGACTTGCCATTGGAGATGTATTATAGAAGTTTCAGGATGAAGCACCTCAAAACATTTCAAACTTCTTATTTTCAGACTGTTTGAGTTTTGAGTCTCCCTGCCATGTACTAAATTGTGTTGGCTGTCTTCCCCATATCCTATGACCACATTTGTCATACTGTATTTGTTAAATCCAATGACCTCAGAGGCTCCTACATGGCACGAGTCCTTCCTGCCCCTCTCACACACTCCCAAATACCATTCTTCTTTAGAGTCACCGTTCCCAGTGAATGGTGGGCAAACAATGAAGAAGTAAAAATTGTACATTTTATTGCCAGGTAGCCTTTGGGCAGACTATGCATTTTTCAGATAACCAAAATATAAACTTCTGTTCAGACAATCAACTCTCCTGTACTACTGAATCCCAAGAAGGTAGCAGGTAATCTTTACTATTTCCTGTGGAGTCCCTCTTTACTTGCTTCAGTCTCCTTATAGCAAGTTAAAATCACTTCAAATTCAGGAAATCACATGTGGTATTTCAAAATTTGAGGAAATGGACTCCCCAAACTTCCATTTAAACCTTTACTGTTTCTCTATGACACCATATAGGTCTCCCAACTTTGGAATACCAAGATAAAACTTGCAAACAATTCCAAAGCACAGAACTTTCAACTTGCATTTATTTCAGGTTTATAACGAAAGTCATTTTACACCAACTTCAAAAAATCAAGTAAAATAAAAAGCTTTCAACAAATAACTTAAGAAAAGTGATTTAGAACAGTTTTATTTTGCTTATTTCCTTATGCGGCAGATATTGTACAAAAGTGCCACAGTAGCAGTGATACTGAAGTCTACTTACACATCTTACACAATTTTAGGTTAAATCCAAGCACTGAATACTCAGAGCACTTTAAATGCATTAAACAATACAGATCAGTAATAGCACAGCCCAAATGCCAAAATATCTATTTTATACACAATTTTAAAAGCACTTAATGAAGTTACATGACTTCCAACTTACACCACACAAGTTATTTCAAAAGACACTTATTGCAGAGTACTTATATCAAATAAATCTGCAAGAAATAGTATTATTCTAAGGGCTCTGGAAAATGACTAGCATGTTCAAGCTTAAGTCTTGGTTACAGTCATGTCAATAAGGTTTTTGCTACTGACTTCACTGATGCAAAGATCTTTTATTCTCTCATTCTTCTATCAAATAAAAGACGTAAAGGCCTGCTCATGGGATTTACAAAATAGCTAATTGAAAAACATTTCCACGAGGCACATGTGCAGTATGAAAATGAGTTATCACAGATTTCAGAACTGCAGTCTTTAGTACTCTTCAGTATGAAAGTCACAGACATTGCAGCAAAAGCAAATGAGAACAGAAAGAAGAGCACCACTGTTAAACTGCTGAGTTCCTTTTTAAGGCTATGTTACTGTGTTCTGGGAGGAAAGACATCAATACTTTTTGGTTTTGGTATTAATTCCCTGGGTACGGTATCATGGTATCATGTTTTTAACCGAGTTACTAGAATGCATTTCAAAGCAAACATTTTCGTACGTGTGACTTGCTTCATAACTACAGATAGAGTCCAACAGCCATGATATAGAGATGTGTAATTTACACATCCACGTAAGAGTTAATATATGTGCAGTTAAGATATTTAGTAATGAGTACTATGATTTCTCAGTATGAACAGATCCAGTATAATTAATTAGTCCAACCTGAGAAGCTGAAGATTACCTGGGTTTTCTTACTAAAAACTGTAGGGTGCTGAAGTGCATCTCACCAGGTTCATATATTTATGTTAAAGCCATAATTTCACTTAAAAAAATGAAAGAGATAATGCTACTAAAACCTTTAAGTTTTATATTTCAAATCAGAGGTGCAAATGTGAAGCATTAGCTGTATTCATAAGAAAATATGTGAAAAGGCATCAGCTTTATGCTGTTTAATATTAACTAAATCACTTAGGCTCTGTGTGTATGTGTCTGTGTGTTAGGTCTGCTTACAGAATACCAACTCCATGAGCCACACATACTCTGGGGCTCACTTTACCTACACTTTCAGCTCACTGGACATGTGTGGCAGGCTCCTGTCCAGAACCAACCCTGGTAGTGTAACTAGATACATTCTCCCTGTTGGAGTTACTATCTTGAAAACACTGCTATCATAAGATAGCTCTGGGTTTCTACACAGGAATTAGCCTTTGTCTAGCCACAGTGAACTGGCACTTGTCTGCAAGCACTGGAATAGATACATTCCTCACAATGATGGGATTGAAGAAAAGATTCCTGGAAAGATGCTAAGTAACTAATTTCCTTAGCTTTAGCTGAACTTCACAAAGCAGTATGCCTTGTAGGATCAAAACAGTGTGCTTAGAAAAATCAGGGTACTATAAGCTTTGTTAATTTATTCTTAATTTTTGTTCACAAAAAGTAAGACAAAGTAATTTAAGTAAGTAATTTAAACCGCTATGAACAAATTAAAAGCCTGAACAGTCTTGAGAAATGAGAGTCCTTCTGGTAACTGTTCTACCAGAAGGTAAATGGTGACATGCATTTGAAACATTTAGAAACACGTACGACTTTCTTTTATGTGAAATAAAAAACACACAAAAATATGCAATAACATACGTTTTAATTCTGAAAAGATTTAAGGGGCAGATATCATCTGTGACTTTGCTGTTCACTGTTTCACAAGCTCCGGATGTTCAGGATGAAATGTAGCCATAGAATGCTTCACATATAAGACTCACGGTTTCGTAACTATGTAAATTTAAACATGGATCACTGCCTTTCATTTTCTTGGCTACGAACCTCACACTACAGCATAGTAAGCTAGCTGAAACCCAAACCATCAAGGCTTCCATGAGGTCTGTTTCTTTTTTTTCTAAGCTCCTTTGAACAGCAGCAGCCCCTGATGCTGTACAGGGTACTTGCCTCCAGTGCTGCATGTAGCCACACAGAACAAGAAACAGCAAACCAGTGCCAAATTAAGGAAGTCATTAATTGAAAGGTCCATCTCCCCTAGACAATGTGAATCACTCAAAGTCAAGAACTGTGCCACTTTGTAGGTCTGCTCAGAATCACCTCTCTCCCACTTTAGCTTGTGATCTGGAAACAATTCACCATCTGAGAGACTGTTAAACTGTTTATACCACCATCCCATTTTGTTCATGGCATTTCCCATGCAACAAATACCTTCCACTGGCAAAGAGCTAAGACAGATGTTCTTACAAATTTTACAAAAATTGTTCCAGATTCATAATATTTTTTTCACACATTCCCTTAAGCTTGCACAGTACAGAAAAAAGTAATAAACCATTAACAAAAACCATGCAAAAAACCCAAGACCATCAAGCTAACATATCTAAATAAAAGCTAAATCAAATAGAACACCAAAATAATGTATAAAAGCTTATCTTGTTCAAGGTCTTGAATAACATTAATAATGATGTCTTTTTTTTTATTTTGTTTTTTTTTTTAATGTCAAATTTGAGGTAAAACAAAATAAGCTTTAATTCCCCACCTTCCCCAAATCCTGGTTCTTCAGATACAAAAGAAACCTGTGCTCTTAAGTGGCGTTTAGAGCATATACTTGTACTTCAAGACTGACTAAATTTTGTATTTCAGTCCATGCAAAGGAGTAACTAAAATTACCAAATTTACCACATTAACATGGATACAAATTAATAAAAATATGAAAATGCTTTAAGAATATTCCCTTTAGTGCTTTTAACAAAGATTACTCCTGGTTTAGTTTAAATTGTGTGAGATATGTTGAAGTAAATCTTTAAGATTTATTGTTGTTCTCACTACTCAAAAGAATCTATTTGATTATCAGCTCTCTCACTTTAAAGGCATTGATGGAAATTTACATCGTTCTGACAGCATATTAGATAAAAAAAATGCAGCAAACACAGGTTGAAAAAAATTATACTACTGTTAAGTATTATGCAGTTATGCAGTGATGTAAACTGTAAAGTATCACAATCTAACTTTAGATGTTAAATCATGGACATGCTGAACAACTGGTCATTTGATAGATAACCAAAAAGTGCCTTGCACAATAATTTAGTATCTTCACCTGTAAGCTTCTGCATCATAATTCTACATCAACCATTTCAGTCTTGGACATCGAAGTAGTCAATTACTGGCTCTTCTTTTAATGGTTTGGATAAACCACTGCTTCCACTACTCCTGAAATTATAAGAATATTAGATGTTACTCACTCTGCATGAAACACAAGATAAAAGTAGGTTGAAGTCATAAATTCCCATAACGTCTCAGTGCGCATATGAACACTGCATTGATAGATGGTGTGTTCTAAATTATGTTCTAATGGAAATATCTTAATGCTTCAGAAAACATTTAACTATGATTTTGTGGAAAAAATATATACTTTATCAAATTAATGTATAATGGTGCATGGCTGAATTGATACAATTTGTTTTTGAGTTTTACCAGAAACTATCATTTATTAGTAATATTTATTGCAAAAACACTAATGTACTGAAGACTAAATGCTAAACATGCTTTTAAATAATAAAATATAAACATAAATAAAAATATATTTACTAACTGTCCTAATAAATTATTTTATGCCAGTAAGACACTACTTTATCTTTTACACAGAAAAGTTAAAGATATAAAACACCCCAAACCTCCAGAACATTCATCTCTTCTCAACCATCTAATCTTTATAAAAAAAGAGAGGTCCACAGTATTTGTTTTTATTACTGCTCTTATATCACAGTCAATCCTACATTCTGTTAGCATTTCATTTCAGGTTTACTTCTGTGGACAGAAAAATTTAGTGCAGGCTGCAAGCTCCGCAGCAGCATATAAGTTGAGTAAAAAACTCAGGGAGCATAAAATTCAAGTTCATGAACACTCTTCCTTGAGTAAACCAGCACAAAACTGAAGAACACCATTTTAGAAACACATTTCTTACTTATCTGTTTGTTTGTAATGAGGAATAGGAGGTGGAGGCCTGTTCTGCATTTCTTTATCCAGCACAGAAGTTAAAGTATTGCTTGGACAAATGGATTTCCCTCTAGAAAAATAAAAGAAAAAAGTTATTTTATTCAACAGGAATTTATATTCATTTAGAAGTTAGGGCAAAAAAAGAGTTACGTTTAAAAGTAGTGGTACCAGTGTCTGAGTTCATATTTGTATTTCATCTACATAACTAATTTTCATAGAGTCACAGAATATCCTGTAACAGAAGTAACCCACAAGGATTGAGTCCAGCTCCTGGCTCCACACAGGACTACCTAAAAATCAAACCATCTCTCTGAGATTGTTGTCCAAATGCTTCTTGAACTTCAACAGGCTTGATGCCACAATCACTTACCTGGGGAGCCTGCTCAAAAGCTCAACCACCCTCTCAGAGAAGAACCTTTTCCTAATATCCAATCTGAACCTCCCTTGATGCATCTTCATGCTATTCCTCCCTTGGGTCTCATCACTGGCCACAAGAGAAAAAAGATCAGCACCTTTCTCATCTCTCCCCCTCACGAGGAAGCTGTAGGCTGCATCAAGGTCTATGGTCACAGATCACTGCATCTTCACAATATCTAATGCTGTGGAGCCATGTTCTTAACCTCAAGCAACAAGTCGCATTAAACTTACTCATCACTCTGCACTAAAACTAGGCCCCCGTGAAGCAGTCCTCTCCAAGGAACAATAACAGAATCACAGAATGGTTTGGATCAGAAGGGACCTTAAAGATCACCTAATTTCAACCCCCCTGCCACGGGCAGGGACACTCTCCACCAGGCCAGGTTGCTCAAAGCCCCATCCAACCTGGCCTTAAACACTTCCAAGGATGGGGCTCCTCTGGGCAACCTGTGCCAGTGCCTCACAATACACTGCCACTTCCTTACCCGTTAGCCCAGGTGCATGAGACCAGAAATATGACACGCATTAAGAAAAAAAACCAAACAAATAAACAGTTCTTCCTGCCCTCCACATAAGTTACTATCTATTACGTGACCATAACTGTACAATGAAGCATCTCATTTGTGCTTGTGCCCTCTGCAATACAAGGGCCACCCTGTGGCCATGGTGCAGGGCAGTATTTTCTCCAATGCAGGAAGACAGTATGCTTCAGTATGTCCCTAGGCTTGTACCGGCTGCGAAGCACACCTTCAGTACTGCACAGTCCATGTCCAAAGGCTGCACTGGCTGGAGACAGGGGAAGGATATAAAAAAAAATGGAAACTGCTTTGAAAGATTATTACAAAAAAGGCATCTAAGCCAAAATTTTTCAAAATAAGTATCATACGCAACTCTATCTTTAACAGGCTGTGGAGATGTCTTAAAAGTTTCCTACGAGTCACTTTCAAGAGTGAGTTTGCTTTATTTCAACTTCCAGTCACGGTTCCAATGTAATTGCAGGACTGAGAGGCCTTCCACCACCATTCTGGTACACTAAACAGCACTGCTTTCCTATTTATATCTGAATGCCTCTTCTTCTTAGGAATGTTTCCCTACCTTCTGAGATGTAGATTCATCTCTGAATATTACTTGCACATGATACATTTTTTGGCTAGGCTACTTCTTATATGGAGAATAAATTAGCTTGGCCTCTCCATTTCTGAACAGGTGAATAAATGCTGCTTCTTTTCCTTCATTCTTGCCCTCGATTTACATTACGTTCATAACTTAACAGTAAATTTTATTCCACACTGGAAACACGTTTGCCTGAATGCCTATTTATGACTTTATAATTTGAGATAACCTTAGCCTTTCCCATTCTTCTATTCTCACAAGTACCATTATATTTAAAACCACTAGTATATGTACAAGGAAAATAGCAGACGATTAACTATACATTAAATTATATATATCCTGTAACGTTGTTTATTCCTACATACAGGCAAGTCACTGATTTTATGAGCAACCCATTCCACAATCGCTACGTATTGTATGAATCTTCTTCCTGCAACTGTTTCAAACCTGATGATTTTTATTTGTGCCCATTACCTCATCTGTTGAGAGAAGAAAGAGAGAATATGCATTCTCTACACGGGCTGTGATTTCAGGTATCTTTGCGAAAACTCTGCAGTATCTTTCCAGGCTTTTTTCAAGAAGACGACCTGTATCTCTTACTGTTTTTAACAGTCTTCTATGTCTCTGACAAACCAACTTAGAATGCAAAGTAGGGGTAAATGAATTTACACTTACCTAATGTGACCAAAACACTTAATAATTACGCTACATTTTTAATTATTGAATAATGTTCTGAGCTTAAAGCTGCATTTATATGGAAATTATGAGGTAAAAAATCCTACAATTATTTTATCAGAAAACTGCCACAGCATACTCAAGTAATTTAAACATATTAACGATATAATTATGCATTAAAATTTAACCACATATTAAATCTCTCTCTAAAAATCTATATAAGCCTGTATATAAAGCTTTATTTATACATGTATACTCACTTACATATATAAGTTATATATAAACATTAAATTAAATGCTGTTCCTAGAAGGAACACCAAAAATAAGCCTCTTCCCCTTTTTGCCATACAAGCCTGCACGTAACCTTTTAACACAGTACTGCCCCACAGAAGGAATCCTGGGTCAGAAGGAATCTGGTATTGCAACTGCTCAAAAAGATGGTGACTACAAAGGCAACCAGCAGGGAGAAGGGCACTTAAGATGAACCTTGACGTTCAACACCAGGAACATTCTTTATCTGCTTAGACATCAGCAATGCTGTACATCGGTGATTCTAATGCAGCTAACATGATCAACTTGTACCAATGTGGTGGAACGATGATGGGTGCATTTTGCTGATGGCAAAGTAGTCATGGTGCTTGCTCCTAGCCTATTATCTGGCTAGAGGAACTCTCCTTAGCACCAAGGATGCTTTCTCACTCCTCTGATCCAACTTGTATGGTGATGTTACCACTTCAGTGACATAATGGGGAAGAGCAGGAAAAAAAATGGTGCTTCTTGCCTAGCGTCATTTCTCGTTACGTATACTTGGAAATGCCCCTAAAAGGTATCTGCAGGGAATACTGAAAACAGGATGAAACAAACTGAATCAAACCATTTGGGCTTTGTGTTGACTAGACTCTGGATTTGAAGAAGCTGTTGTGAAACAGCATTCAGTTCTGGGGCCTCTAACACAAGAAAGACATGGACATATTTGAACGAGTCCAGAGGAGGGCCACAAAGATGATCAAATGGGCTGAAACACCTCTACTACAAATACAGGCTGAGGGAGTTGGGGTTTTTCAGCCTACAGAAGAGAAGGCTCCAGGGAAACCTTACAGCGGTCTTCCAGTACTTAAAGGGGGTCTACAAGAGAGCTGGAGAGGAACTCTTTGTCAGGGAGTATAGTGATAGGACAAGGAGTAATGGCTTTAAACTAAAACAGAGAAGATTTAGATTAGGTTCTAGGAAGAAATTCTTTACTCAGAGGCACTGGAACAGGTTGTGCAGAGAACCTCTTGATGCCCCATCCTTGGAAGTGTTTAAGGCCAGGCTGGATGGGGCTGTGAGCAACCTCATCTAGTGGGAGGTGTCCCTGCCCATGGCAGGGGGATTGAAATTAGGTGATCTTTAAGGTCCCTTCTGACCTAAACCATCCCATCATTCTATGAAATACTCTAAAAATATCATCCTAGAACTTAAGCTATCAATTGTCTGAGGCTTCAATGAGTTTTATGTCTTGAAGAAGTGGTCTTTGCCACTTGAAATAAAATGACAATGAAAAGAATTCTTGGATGAATTCAATTAGGAAACATCGCTACGCAGCTGAAAAACACTGTTGTATAGCACTCAGTGTCTATAAGAGCAGAAGTAAAAGTGCAGCATTTGTGTTCTATCACTGCATGCTCCTAAATGCTCCTAATCCTTTGATCCTTCACACAAAGCCATCCCTGAATTCAAGAAGTGTTTAAAAAATGTTCAGTTGTATTTGTTAACAAATAAAAAAACAGCAACAGATGTAGTGGAAATCATGCTCATCAATTCAGAAGAAAAATATCTCAACCATGCTGCCTTACAAGTATTGTTTTATTGATTCCTTTATTTCTTACATACCAAAGCACAAAGTGTGAAACAAGCATCCTGATAATGTGCACAAACCAAAAGTAAAGATGCAGTATAAACCTGTCTAAATCAACTTTCACTATTACATGAAAGGGATGAAGACGGAGTCAACAAAACTCCCATCAAGCACCTAACATCAGCTTTCCAACACTTGAACATTCAACTCGGTCCTTGCAGACTCCAGAGTCCTCCCCACTCCCTCATACTTGCCAAAAGAAAGAGGACAGGGGAAGAGTCATGGGAAGAGCTCCTGCATGATCACTGCATGATCTTCCCTAAACAACAAAAGGGAAGGAGCAAGTGCGCAACTTATAACACTACAGAAGGCTTCCCATTCTAAAGTTTCAGCATACAATGACTTTAAAAAAAAAAAATAAAAAAATTCTGTCCTACTCATTTCTCTGACACTTTCTCCTCCTCTTCACTTATTTCTCATCATCCTCCAGCCCCTTCCTTTTTCTGAGGAAGCTTTTTCAAGTGTGGTCTCTCTTCTCACCCTTCTTTTGTAGGGAAAAGGGAGATATCTTAAATTGGTTCACAGAAACATAAAGTTACCTTAAAGTAGTGTCCTGTCTTTATTGAACGAGATCAAGATTCTAACTAGGATAACAGGCTCAGGAGCAGCTCATGGCACTGTAACTAGCAGGGATGGTAATATTTTTTTTATTTTTTAATTTTTAACTATAGCCAACATCTACAGTTAGAAACCAATTAAATGAGTTGTCGAAGAACCACAATTTGACAGTGCTGAACTAAAATTTGTCAATGTTAAACTAAATAAGTTGCTCAGTGACAAAAGAATCAAGGAAGCCACACTCTCTCCAGTCAATAACCTTGCTTTTCCCCCAGCTATATTCCCTTCATTTCCTTTTATACTATGAACTTCCTTCTACATGCCCTCTCCAAGCATCTCTAATTTTGCTTAGACATCTTTTATATTTGCAGTAATCCGTTTCCAACTTTGTCCATTAACAAAAAAGAGAGGATAGGACTTTCTGTGGCAGGTTCAGGTGTGTAGAGAAGTTCCAGTATGAGCCTTCTTCAAAGAAGGTGCAAATTTAGATGTGACTTCTCTATCCAGCCATTAATATTCATAAAATTTTATTACTTTTATTATCCTTGATACTTCTGTCAAATTTAGCTGATGACAAAAAGACAAGAAGTTACTGCTAAGCCAAACGGAAAACAGACTTGCAAAATCTTGTCTTCTTAGCTTTTTCATTTTTAATTGCGTTTTCTTCTCTGAAGATGTATTCAACCAGGGGGAAATAGAAGCTTATCAAATGATCAGTTTAAAATTGCTTTAAAAACTTTTAAATGGAAGCTACTGCATGCTGCAAATTGTACTGTAAATAAACTCATTCAATTAAGTGATATAAACATACACAGTTACTAGAAAACAAAATGAATTACATACTTCACTGCGGTGATAACAACGTTACGCTTTGGTTCGTTGTCATAGCTCACACTTTCAATGCCATACACCTGAGCTAATTCATGGATGATTCTGCGATGATCCCTGTTCATTGGTGGGTAACAATGACTCTTTTTTGTATGCTTGCCCTGAAATTAAAAAAGAAAAAAAAAATATATATATATATAAATATATAAAATGAGGAAGTGAGCAAGCAAAGAAAGGCAAGCAGAAAGGAAAGGTGTGTGGGAAAGAGAAAGCTCTTCTACCTCTAAAATTTTGCCACCATGACAAAGTAGTCCTACAAAATGTTAATACATCAGTATTGGCAAAAAAAAAAATCATCTAAAAAACAACCATTTAGTTCCCACCTCAAAGCATACATACACACATTTACGTGTACGTTTAAGTTCGAAACAAATCCTGAATACATCTATTCTGTTTACATCCCAAAGAAGCAGTATAATTTATCTGAATTTTTCTTTTTCAGACTGGTTTTTACAATGCACATACACAGCAGGTTGCTACAAAGGCATCAGATTTAGTTATCACTTCTCTCTACCAAATAAGCGATGTCTCTGGAAAACCTGCCACGAATAAAGTCTATTGATGTTATTAAATAGCAACAAAACTGTAGTTTTAGTTTCAGTGAACAAAAACTGATAATGCTTGATATGACAACAATTGTTACATAAACAGTCAAAGAAAGAACAGGAAAAAAAAAAAAAGCGTCTCTCCTTCCTAATGGACTGGGTGTCTTAACAACAGCAGATGCAGATGAGGGTAAGATACCCAGTCTGCTTCGGGGTTTCAAGACACTGTGCTTCAGCCTTTGCCTTGGTTGTCACCAACAAGGTCTCAGAGGTCTTTGGGGCTATCAACAGGGTTCAAGAAGAAGACAAACTGCCAGTATTAGATAACATTTGAGTCAGGGACTGCAAGAGAAGTCCCAGCCTGTACAGGGTTCTGGGACTGGATGCAGCACATTTGACAACACAGAGACTAGGAGTATGTGTTGTTCTCTATCACTTCTGAAAGGTTACAGACATCAGGGGTAGGAGCCTAATGACCGGAGAAAGGCAACTGTTCTGTTTTCAAGAAGAGCAAGACAGACAACACAAGAACTACAGGACAATAAGCTACATTTCAAAGCCTGCGAAAAAAAAACAGCCTCTCATCAGCCATTTTTAGGCACATGAAGTAGAAGGCCCCTTGGAGTAGCCAGAGTGGATTTAGGAAACTTCTTCAGTATCTGATCGGATAAAGCTCATTCATTCAGGGGCTGAGTTCAGCGTTGGTTCTTGCTTCAAGAAAGAGCTGCACTAGACTACCTCTGCAGGCTCCTTCCAACCTGAATGATACTAAGACATCTTCTGACAGGCTACGTTAAACATTCAAATACAAATTAGTACACCTTTGGATTGCACAAGGAGAACTGTTACATTAAAAAGCAGTTGCTTTACAGGTCATGTGAAAACTCTCTTCAAATCATTAAGATGCAGAGAACCCCATTTTAGAATCTAATAAAAGGACAATTTTGATAAATCTTAAACCACACACAAATCTATTCGAGTCTGTTCACGTCTATTATTGCATGATCACAGTGCTGCCAGAAGTAACTTTGTCGCAGTACTGTGTACTCTTTCTTTTTTAACATTCTAGGAAGCTATTAATTTGATATAATCTTTAACTGGTTAGATTAAGCAAAAGAATACTCCTGGAAATTATTTAAGCAACTGCAGAAATCAACACAGGTTCTTGAAACCTCTTCTTGGGTCCTTTACAGTGTTTTTACTGTAATCAGTATTACTGCAAAGGAGGAATGCTACTTAACAGTAATACCATTGGTTATACTCCTCTACTATTCAAATTGGCAAAACATTTGTTCACCAGTTCTTACAGAGAAAGGCAGAATGAGGATGAAACTCATCCCCTCCACTGAGACAAAGAGAATACTCATTCTGCTGCAGTCACCTAGATATAGTCTGCTACAGATGAATTTAACAGAGGAAGATAAACATTAAAGGCACAGTGTACCTGCCCTGTAGATGGATGGTTTATACCTGCCTCCTCTCAGAATGTTAAGTAGCTAAATTATGAATAGTAACCAGACCTGAAGTGGTGGTCAATCTTTTCCACAAGTCTTCAGAATAATCACATACTGTCTTGATTGAGTTACTTAACAATAAACAATAATAAACTTTCCACCTACTACAACAATTTCAGCATATAGACAAACATTTGGATAAAGAAAACTCTATAGATTTTGTACCTTTAGAAGGATGATCTTTAAAGGGATGATTCTGGGCTCAAAAAAAAATGAGAATTTCTGTCTATGTGCTGACAGAGCTGGATGACATGAATGTTTTCTGTCCTGTCTGCTTACACATGTCAATAGTGACAACTCTGCTGTGCTAGATTAATACACACTAATGAGTCTAAGGGAACAGATATTCATGAAGCAAGCAAAGTCATACAATGACAGATAAAGTTAACTGTATTAATATGTAAGTGTGTATTTACAAAATGACAAAATTACAAATTGACAAAAAGCATCAGAATCCTTTTTATTACGCATTTATCCAGTTAAGCTGAAATTAGTATCCAAAGGAACATTGCAAAAATATAAACAAGTCAAAACAAAAATGTGTAAGCATAAGTAACAGTAATCAGTACAAAATACATAGTACTGATACAGGCAGAGCTACCTGAATGCTTCATAGACCAGCATGCAAAATACTTTTAATACAAGGAAGTAAAGCTTAACATCTAGAAACAAAGAACACAAGTCACATCTCAAGACAGAAAGGATTTAGGAGTCATGGTAAACAAACAACTGAACAGAGACTCAAGCATAAGACAGATTTAGGGATCTTGGCAGAAGAACAACTAAGCACAGTCTCCTTGCATAATGCCATGTCAAACATACTAATCCAGTCTTTGGATACATAAGAAGTGGGAGTTGACTTGTCTGGCTGGGCAACAGGCCTGAATGAAGAGCAGTGATAACACTTACCAGGCATAGAGACATCTCCAACACAATACAAATACCTGTGGTTGCAAGAGGGAACATGACTGGTAATCAGGAATCTAAACATTTCAAGGAGGAATTTGACAGCCTTGCAAAACTTAGTATGTAACTAAATAGAGAATTTTCAGGTATAGAACAAAGATTATGGTGGGACTCCTCAGGTAACTGTTCAGTTTGCCTACTGAAGAATTAATGAAAATAATTTTTTACCTGTACATGCATCATAACGTATGGACTCCAAATGATGAGACTTGTGTAACTTGTTTTTGGTATTCAGAAAGAAATCTCTTCCCTTTTGAAATATAAATTGACTTCTGGAGACTTCTTGTACCTTATGGAATAGCAATTCCCAACAGCCTGAGGTGCAGGTGGGTGCAGAACTTGTCCTTGAGGTACTGAATTGTCAGGTGGGCCTAACTGATTCATCTTCATCATGACAGAAGCTTAAATGAGCACTGAGCAATTCTCCCTTTAGGTCAGACAAGGGAAGGATTGTCATGTCTAGCTTGTTTTTTTCATCCTCTTCTGCAATGGAGACTCTTTTTAATAGACACTCAATGGCCTCTGTTGTAGAATTGTTATTTAACAAATACTTTGTTACTGCTGAGAACTAAACACTGGAGATTTTCTTGAGCTCTCCTGTTCTCTTGTTCCACTATATTTTATGTCACTAATTCATTTTCTATTACTAATTCAAGACATAGAGTCACCTTTTTTGTATCATATTACATATATTGGTTGGCTGTTGGTTTGGGAATATATATTGGTATATCCAGTTATCAAATATACAAATGTGTACATATACATTTCTCTGTGCAGGTGTGTAAAATAAAGGCAGTATACAAAGGTATAAAATAGGATAAGTACAGTCAAAACAACTGTTGGGCAAGTTATTTTTAGCTAATAACAATTATTCTACACATCTATTAGCAAATGAGATTGGAGGGGCCTGAATATAATTAGACACAAATAATCCTTCTCAGATTTTTATTCCAATATGTAAAAAATAGGTAAGAATATTAGACAGGTGGACAAGCACCGAGATTGCTTAAGAAACACCACACAAAAGGAAATGAATAAAACTAGGTGATTAAAATAGAACATATGCAGTCCTACGGCAGAGAACAGGGAAGGACATTGATACTTTCTACAGAAAATTATGTTTCTTGAGCTAAGGACAGCTGAGGATAGAGTAGTTTATACTTCCAACTGCATGCAACAGGTCAAGCACTGTGCAGCAGCAAGCCAGTAGTACACTAACCAGACAGGCCCAAAGGCAGAATTCTGCTTTTGCTACATGCCTATGATTTTGTCTGTGGAACCGACCTCTCTAGGTATACTGGAGTCTATTAAGGCTGAATCCCATTCTCCTTATAGGAGGAAGAGGACTACCTCACACAGAAATGCCAAAGAGCATCCACTCTACAGATATGAAAGCAAATCCCACTACAGGGACTGAAAGAACCTAGGGCTTTCACCCTCAGAGTCTTAACCTTTAAATACTGTGTTTGACGATTAAAGCTTTATCGATGGAGACACAAAAATGAAAGATAATCCACTGATGCATTAAAACCTGGCACTGGTTGAGTCTTTAAAAAAACAAAATGTAAAAAAAGCTTGACTGTCACAGAAGTGGTCGTACTGCTATGTTTTAAAAATTTTGTTCTATTATTAAAATATGCATTCTAATAGAGTAAAAACAGATCTAGTATTAATCCCTAACTATTAGTACTAAAGTTTCATAAACATTATTCTGATCCCCCCCCAAAGTAAACAAAACTGTTTCTTTTAATAACTCAAAGAATACCTGAATACTGACCTTATTCACAGCTTCCACAAGCATTCTCATCTCCTTCTCAACATCACTGACAAATTTTAAATCCTTCCTGCAACAACAGCATACTAGGTAAATGAGGCAATAAAATGTACAAAGATGCAATGACTTTATCTTCTGTAACATGTAAACGTGTAACGTGTTGTAATGAAAAGTTACCATTTCAGTGTTTCTCAGTTTTGTCATTTAGGCAAATTCACTTAATTAGATTACACAACTGGATGGAAAATCAGGTATTGGGTATACAGAGTAGAATTGTTTCCAAAGACAGAAAAAGTGCACTGACTGATTTTAAAACTTATCTGGTGTAACAAATTAATAAGAACAAAAGTAGAAGCATAAAGCTATTTGTGAGAAAACAAAATATTCTTGATATTATGGATTTTTTTAATTAATTGGTTTGCCCTACTTAATCACAGTAAATTGAATCTGTCAGAGTGAGCTTTGTGTTCTCTTCTTATATGAACAGGTAAACTAATTCCAAAAGAAAGGTTAACATTTGTTAGAGCACTGTCCCTACAGGTAAAAATGTCTACCTGAAGAATTCATCTCTCAAATCTGGTTAGCAGTAAAAAAAAAATAATAATAATAATCCGCAGAATCAGTAGTTTCCTCTGTAGGATCCTGATCAGAGGACTGACTGAGTAGAGACAGTAAAAAATGACTGAGTTTATTTCTCATTTCTTCTTGACTCTGGTTCTGGTCTTGCAGTTTTAGTGCAAGGTTAGCTTGTTTTGTTTAGTTTAGTTTAGCTTGTTTTGGTGTTTTATCAGCTTGCTCACATCCTATCTGAAGGGTTCCGTTTGTGGTTGTCCTGAGCTGGAGGTTGTTTGTATATTTATGAAGTACCAAATGAAGTACCTCAATTTCCCAGGACACTGATGAGTATCTACCACTCAATTGAAGTATTTCTCAAGTTATTTAAAATTAAATTAAGTTTGAAAATATGAAATTTATTAATCATTAGGATATTGTAGCAAGTGTAAAATATATCCAACAGGCCTACACACATACACACAAAGTAAAAATTTCTTAAGTGACCTTTATCATTTAAGCATCTTTTTACAAATCTGTCTGATCCCTCCTTATCATCCCAGGTTGCACAGTGTTTACTAGTGAGATGCTTTTGATATTAACTTGACTTTCTCTTGCCTCATTTCCAGATGTTTCAGTCTAGTAGCTCTCTTTGCAACCCGCATTAGCATAGTCTTAACTACGCATCATGCAAATGTTTTGCTAGTGTCTTTATTTTGAAAATTGACAGCAAGGCAAACAAATAAAGGGACTAGTACACAGAAATAGTCTCAGACTCTAAGAGTATGTTTCATTGCTTGGTTATCACTCTTGCCTTTGTCCTGAAAAAATTACAGAGAGCACAGAGATAGTGGGGGTAGAAGTTTGTGAAGCCAGTGGAAGAGTGCATACACTGATTTGTTGTGAGAGAAACGGTGGAAACTGATGTTCCCATTGTAAATCTGGCTCTGTTATAGAATAAAGAAACCAGCCAGCCACTTATTATTATTTAAACTTCTCATTTTGCTGGTGTTGAGAAAAACACATTAATTCCTTTGCCTCAATGATCACCTATTCCCATAATCACCATAATCACCTCTGGAGAGAAAAGGAACAGACATTTTTACAAGAGCAAATAGAATCGATCTTCATTTCCTATCTTGCACTCCACACTGTTTACCTATGACACTTTTCATCATTAGAGCACATACCTTGCATCTTCTTTTAAAAGGTCACTGTACTTTGGTCCAGAAGAACGGATGTTGAAAGGGTCAGAGTTATCATCTATTTCAAGAGCCTCAGCAAGACGCCTAAATTCAAGCAGGGGAGGGAAGAAAAAACACAAAAATGCCACCATAAATAAATAAATAAATAAAAATTAGCCCCCAAGAACATTTTCTCATTGAAGAGATGGGATGCCAATACAGATAAACAGCTCACAAAAGACAGAGTCTGTACATTTGATGCTAATTTACAGGAAAGAATTTTTTTCCATATAGCATTAACTTTTTTCTGAAAAGTCCAAATTAAAAAAGTTCATTGCCCACCTGTTCCTCTGAAGAGCTAAACATTCTTCATCACATTGCAACCTGAATTATTAAAAAAAATACAATTAGAATCACTGTTTCTCCTCAGTTTTAAATATGATAGCAACAAAACTATAGTTATAGCAGCCTAAGTAAATATGCATCAGAATAATTTACTTTATTAGATCAGATAATACAGCTAACAACAGATTAGACTTTATTTCAAAGTCAGTCTGTTAGGTGTATTAATCAAATTCACAATTCAGGGAAGAGAGACTGTAACAGAAAATAATAAAAATAGGACTGCAAAGGCAAAGACTTAAGGAAATTAAGTTTCAGACAAAATGTTATTGGAGAAACTTGACCATACCTTGAAGAAACAATACTACAAGTAAAAGCACAAGCTATTTAATTCCAGGGGAGTATCCAGAAGTAGAGTGAAATCGCCACATTTAAGACCAAATTGGTTTTGTGACTTAAACACAAATGTGCAATACAACAGTATGAGAGCACAAGTGTCAAGCATAAATGACTCAGACGTACTTTTTTCTATTATCCTAAAAAGGGTAATGGGAAAATATTATAAACAGTAAGATGATGACTAGGAGAAAAATATGTCCTCTAGTCATCCAGAAAAGAATATTAAGAGAAATCTGAAAACAAAACAAAACAAAACAAAACAAAACAAAAAAAAAAAACACAAAAAAAACCTTTTATTAACTCCAAGGAGTTTGTGGGCCTGGTAGACGCCAACATGAACATGAATCAGCCATGTGCCCTGGCAGCAAGGAAGGCTAATGGCATTCTGGGCTGCATGAGGCAAAGTATTGCCAGCAGGTCAATGCAGGTGATCCTTCCCCTCTGTTCAGCACTGATGAAGCCACACCTGGAATATTGTGCCAAGTTCTGATCACACACACCCTGCTCCACAGTACAAGAGAGACAGACATAGCAGAGAGAGTGCTGCAAAGGGCTACAAAGATGAAGGGACTGGAACATGTGAGGATGTTACTGGAACACATGAGGAACAGCTGAGAGAGATGGGACTGTTTGGGCTAGAGAAGAGGACGGTCAGCAGGGATTCTATTAATGTATGTTAATTAAGGGAGAATGCAAAGAGGACACACCGAGGCTCTTTTCAGTGGTGCCCAGAAACAACACAAGAGGCAATAGGAACAAACTGAAACACAGGAAGATCCTTCTGAACATCAAGAAACACTTTAAAAATTAAAACAAACAAACAGACAACAAATGCATGGGTGACTGAACACTGGCACAGGTTCCCCAGAGCAGGTGTGGAGTTTCCCTCCTTGGAGGGAAACTATTCAGAAGTTGTCCTGAGCAAGTGTCTATAGGCAGTCCTGCTAGAGCAGGGGGGTTGGACCAGCTAAACTCCAAAATGCCCCTTCTAACCTCAACCATTCCATGACTGAGTTTGCAGAGTAGAAAAGAAACTCTGAAACCACAATTACATTGTTCCATATGTAATTGTCACAAGAAACTAACCAATGATCGAGAAATTCTACATTAAAGCAAAAACAAGAACAGCTAAAGAATTGCAAAACATCCTACTAGCAGTATTACAGCAGAGTCAGGCTATTATTTAAAAGTCTTTTTAAACCGTGATTCTGCTGACAATATTATGCATTTTCCAAGTCACCTGTTCTTCAAGTACACACAAGGATTTCATACATGTTTCTACAGGTCTGTCCTTACCTGGCCTGCTTCATTTCTTTTTTCGTAATAAGCCTACTGATTTCCACTGAATCTCCAAGCTGCAGATCTGTTAACTTAGTGGCTATAGATATAGCAGCTATTCTGAAAAAGAACAGTATTAGCTTTCACTTGAGGCAGGACATGAACCTTGGAAATTGTATATAGAGCTTCAGATTTAAATATCGAGGTGGGAGAAGTTTCCTTTTCAGATTACATAATTATACTCTTGTTCTACATCACCTCGTTTTAGGAGTCTAATCTAGATGTACAAATAAAAAGGTTACACTCATCTTCAACAAACTAACACACAGACTTGCCCCTTCATGGAAATATTCAGAGCACCAATTCTAAGCAAGTCTAACTAGGCAACGTGAATACTCCTTCTTGTCACCTGCTGAATACTCAAACTACATCTGACCATATAAGTTTCATCACTTTTTTTAAAAAAACAAACAAACTTTCATGCGACTCTTCTTTTATGGGCTTTAATTGCGTACAGTTAAGTGAATTTATAAAGTACTTTGAAATTTGCTTAGAAAATATGGATGATACAAGCCATAAAGAAAGAGTAAAATGCCTACTGAGACAGTTACAATTTTCTTTATAAAGGTTGTCCATCATTCCCATCAAGCAAGCCTTTCTAGTCCCCTTTTCTTGCTAAAGGTTCTGATTAAAATATATATTAAATTTTTAGTGATATCCGACACCTTTCTCAAAATCCTGAATATGAAAAATTCTATTATTTGAACTCTTTCCTGTTGATTTTCAGATAAAAGGATATATTTGCATCCAAACAACAAACACGACATTCAGAGAACAACTATTATAACATTAATATTATAACTTTATTATATTATAACATCAGAAAGGACAATGTGAGACACACCATCAGCTTCAAATTTATCAGGTTGTGACCAAACAACAGGCCATTGAATGACAGGACAACAGCATTTATACTGTGTATACAGACAGAGCTGCACAGTCCCTTTTCTGTTCCCTTGGGCATCCTTGTCATGACATTAAACAGCTTTGAGCTTTGTTAATGAAACACTCCCAGTAACATTTTTGGGAAAACCTGGATACCCCATTAATTTGCCAACCTTTCCACAGTAGTAGCTCAGGACTTGTAGTAATTTTTTTCTTTTTTCTCAAGCATGAAGATGATAGAAAAAAAAGCTAAATCTAACTCCCACAAAGAATGGAGTATTTTAATGTTCTAGTAATCTGAAAAGTCAGAGTTATCATATAAACTTAGCAGCCATTAAACACTGTTTTTAGTAATATGACATGGCTCAAGAATTTGTTGATAATGTCAGTTATTGTAAGGTCATAGAATTAAATGTATACGAACACATGTGAACCAAGAGATACAAACACTTGCTTTAAACTGAGTGTTTCATTTCCTTCATATTTAACTTGGCTTATACATGCAAGGACTCTTACTGATTTCAAATACACCATTTTGCCTGTATGAGTATTTTTGAACCTCAGAAATAGTGGAAATATAACAGTGTTAAAAAACTTGGGACTTGTAATCCAGCTACCTTCCAGCTTATCATTATGACAAGCACATGTCAATTTTAAATGATAATTTAAAGTCAAGTCAATCAATCACTTGATTTGTAATGATAGTGAAATAGATTTTTTTTTAAAAAACAACAAAGATGACCGCTCCTGTAAGTCTACCTTATATCCAACTTAGCATTAACTGCTAAGTTAAGCAGTTAAGTTCTTAACTGCTTCTGACTAATACATTTTCCTCCTTGCTTTAATTAGGTTGTATTAAGCTTCTACAAATATATGCTAAGCCACCTTCTGAAGAATTTAAATCTGTGCGCTTTTCAGTAAGAACAACACAGCACATCCTCAGCTGGGCTAGTATCAGGTCCTCAAAAGTGTTAAAGAAAAGAAGCAATCATTAGCAAGCTTTCTTTGGAAAACAGGAAGAATCTGTGACTGTTCTCTCCTATCAACTGGGATGAAGAGCAGAACTTTGGTTTCATTTCAAGTGGAGTGAGATTAACTTTCTGATTACCTCTTTACCACAGCATAAGATTTCTTTATTACTATTATTACCCCTATTTTACTATTTCCATTTTGTAAGTAACGAAGTCCTACTTTATTTCTTCTTTTCCTTGTCTGTTCTTTGCCCTCTCAAATAAAACAACAAAGTTTAGAAATAGGATCTGGAGAAAAAAATAGTGCAAAAAATGGAGTTGGGTAGGACTTGGTTTGCATATTAACAACCAAGTTTTAGATGCCAAAGCTCTCATTACAGTCAACAATCTGAAAAGCTATTCAACTGCCTAAATTTAGCTGTTTCAGCTTTATTGCTCTTTAGCTTCCATCATCCGTATTGACAAGGTTCCGTCAGACATTTAAGTGGAACTGAGACAGCAAATCACACAGGGACTATTATATGCAGTCACCTACATTCAGATGTCTGAATCAGAGTTTGATGGATGGGAGATTCAAGCTTTGATGTGCCACCACAGTTATAGACTAAAGTGAAAGGAGGAATGTGTTCCAGTACAGCATGGCTGGTATGAAAGCTCAGAAGAATGAGAAAAAAGAAACTGTAGGTGTAAGGACAAAAAAAGTGTGAAAAATTTTGTGAATTAAATATATTAAGTCAACCCTGAAATTTATTCAAATTGTGTAAGTCCAGCAAAGGAAGTAAAATAATTATCATAGTACAAACCTTTGATACGTATTAGATGCTTCTGAGCAAATCATACTCTCCTTTCTTCTTCCACATTCACAGTGAAGATCAACCTGTTGCAAATACACAAGACAGCAGTTTGTTTAAAATTTGGTCCTTTTCTGTCCAGGGAGGGATGTGAAGGGCAATGAATTTTCTCTGGACACCCAACCTTTGCACTGCAGGATGTTGTCGGGCAGGGTGAAGAAGGATGACATGGAGCCATACAGGGATGATTACAATATAGCCTTGGAATAACACAAGGTTGTTTACACTCTTCATCTATAAGACATTCTCCTTTATGACAGATTCTTTTACATTTGTGCATTCCGCATTTTAACATTTGATTGCAGCGAAGTCCACAAGAAATGTCAGTGAGATGACATGGAATATTACTTCGCAGCTGAAAGAGGGAAGAAGGAAGATGACAACCAGAAGCGAACAATTATATAAACAAATCTCAAAGCACTTTACTGTTCACACCTTCATTTGGCATTGCCCACGCAAGAACTGTAATACTAAAATATATTAGAACAGAGTTCTTTATATAATAGTCCAATATAGCAGATAGACTTCTAAAATTTAATCACATTAAACACAAACACCAGTAATATATTCCACCTCAAAGAAGCTAAACCAATAGTCATAGAAAGTGAAATATCAAACGCTTATTCCGTAAGTCATATACACATAGAAGTGCATCCTGAACTTTATTGAGAATTTTCAAGCTACATATTATTTAGTACTCAAAAACTCTAAGACTTACTTCATGCTTGCCCATACACCATTTCTGAGTCAGGTAGGTACACGGTGGACACTTCTCCTCACTATGACATGAATGGTACACTGCAGCCACAGGGTGCAGGAAAATTAAAAAAAAAAAAAGAAAGAACAGTTATGACCGTACTTGAGTCAAATGCCTTAAAAGAGACAGCAAGGACCACTTAAACATGACTTGGTATTTCAGTACTTTATGGGAATAGTAATTACTATTTAGTAATTTATGGGAAGAAAGACATTTCATGCAAGGGTAATCTGTTCTTTAAAATATTCTTTAGGAATTATGATAGCAGATTTTTTGGTGAATATTCTTCTGCATTTTCTAAGTTAAATGGTAGAAAATACAAAACATTTGCAGCTTCTGAGCAGGATTACACTATTAGGCAGAGTATGTCAGAACATATATCTATTTAACCTGCACTGTATGTTTTTCAGTCCACTGGTGTCATTCCAAGGAACACAGAAACTAACACAAACTGTTCACCAGATTATCCAACTGTTTCAAGAGAGCATGTAATCTTTCCAATATCGCATTTACTGTGTTGTGACTATTAATAACATCTAAATGTTGCTGTCTGGATCAGAGAGAAAAATCCAATGTTTTTACCAGTCAAAAGTAACACTACTGTTACTTGTGGCAAATTTTTAGTTGGTTGGCTTCAAAGTACAAACTTCTGGAAATATTCACAACTACTGCAAAAATACCTAATAAAAGATAAATATATTTTCAAGCAGCCCCATGTATGCTTTACTACAATTTTAGTTTCTTTTTAAAAATTGAACAATCTAACTTACCTGGATGATTACAATCATGTGGCCTGGTGCATGTTTTCTTACACTCTGGTGGCTGAGTGCCACAGGGGACAGGGGGGTAAATCACCGATTCACCACAATAACAAGTTAACTCATCAAAACCTGGAAAAGCAAATCACAAAAGAAATATATCCCAATGTATGCGTATTTGCACTTCTCTACTAAGAGAAATCTTTAAATAAAGATACAAACGTTTAACTCTAGCTTATTTTTTGATAATAAGCACCACTATAATGAAATTATTAGCCTTTTTGTCTCCTACAAGAAAACCAAACTATGACCCACAATGGATATGCTTGCTCTTAGAGAGTGATACTTTGACAGAAACATTTTGAACTGGAGCAGGTATAATGCTCCTATCCAGTTGAAAGCTGATCAGGTTTTACACTTCACTCAAAAACATAGAGATCTCTTGAAGTCCCTTTCTGAAAGCATACCATTCAAATTTTGTGATTTCTTTCCCACTCATAACAACTCTGAAATTTCTTTCCTTTATCGTTTTTTCTCACACCTGTGGTCAGATTTTGTCCTTTTGCCCAGACCTGCACACAGTACTGGGAACATTTCAGATAAATTACCGAAAGGGCACCACACTGTAGACTTCAGCCTACAATCTCTTCTGTATACTTCATGTCATTTAACACTACCTGGATACTCTTAAGCAGCTTTTGAACCCATCCAAATACTACAAAATGAACTTTCAAATACAGTTTCTATCTCTCTCTCTCTCTTTTTTGTTTTTTTTAGTTCCCTTATTTTGGAAACAGATTTTTAAACTCTTGCCACAGGATTCCAAATCTCATTCATAAAATAAACAAAGGAATAGAAATCATTTAATACACCATTCCAACAATACTTAACACTGCACAAAAATTAACCACTTAATTGCTGTTATTCAGAGTTTGAAGAAACAGCAGGAGACATTGAAATGCAAATTACAGTTATTACAGATCTTTAGAAAAACAGGATAGTAAGAGTAAATGCTAGTATCTGAAGTCATATAGAAAGAGACGAGAGAACAAAAAGGCAATATAATTGATCTATAAAGGAATAAAGAGATAATGGATCAGAAAGAACAGTAAGAGCGAAGGTAGAAGGATATAACAGAATAATAGAACTGAAGATAATTCCAAGCTGAAGAGAAGGTGTGTGCATTATGCCAGCTGCTGAATCCAGCAGATTCTGGGAACCAGGGGATTACTCCTTCCCAAGGTCAAGATTCCACTAAAGCCAAATCTGTTTAAAACCATATAGAGGCCCAGCCAGTAGCAAGACTGAGCAAATGTTCCAGAGACAGACACACTATACATACATTACCAGACACTCAGACTAACACAGAGCCTACTAAACACCACCAACATTTCCATAAACAGATATATCAATAGCCAAGTCCTCTTCCTCCTCTCCAGCTCATCAGGATTAAAGTTCACTAGTGAACACACAAACACACACACTCTAAATTCACATGCACACCACATTGATCTTTGCCTCATACGCATACCCAGACACACCCAGTCACTGGCTGATGTCCTGGGTATTTCCAGAAGCAGATCTGCCCCCTACGTAACAGCCAGTCCAGCTTGAAGGTCATTAGCAAGTTACATGTACATGCACAGGCACACACAGGACTCAAATTATTTTAATAACGGAGTCAAGCACATACACCCACATCTCCTCAGGTACTGGCACCCAGACTGAGGGGGCCCCCTAATATTTGATCCCCTTCTCCAGCTGCTAGCATACAGACTTCTCACATACCATTGTCTCTCCAGTTGCTAGCACAGAGATTACGTACTCCTGTAGCCCACTGCCTCCAGTTGCTGACATTTAAATCCCTTGTGCAGAATAGGAAGAGAGTACACTCAAAGATACTAAATCTTATTACTAGGTTAGGATATAGTGGTCATCAGGTGCACAGGTTTCACTTAGTGCACTGACCTGCTGCTTCTTACATGCAACTGTTACCTTTGATTTCCCTTTCTCTCCATTCTCCCATGCATGTACTTCCATTCCCCTCCATTCTTCTCGATTCCTCCTTTTGTCTACTTGTCTTATTCTACATAAATAATATACTGCAATATTTTGTCCCCATTGGTCTCATTTTTTTTCATCAATACCCAAGTTTGATATTTCTGGCATTATTAGCTGGGTCATATAAGCATTACATGGTAATGTAATGCTGGAACTCTCCCAGAAGAGTTCCCAGTACTCCCCTCCTCCTATTATCTCTGAAGCTCAGTCACCTCTCACCGTACCATCTGTGAAAGTCAGTTATTCCTCATGGCACTATCTGAAACTCTTGTTAGCTTTTCATTGTGTTCTTTTGTTTGTTTGTTTTTTTCTCCTTACATTCATCACTTTCTTATGCCCAGTTGTTTCTTATAGCTGTTCAGTCAGTAAAAATCTCTGATCAGGTCCCAGCCTCTTTTCCATAAGTCTTACATTGGAGAAGTTAATAGAAAGGATCACAGTTTTCATCTAAAGAGATTCTGTGGTTGAATCTCCTTACAGAAACAGCCAAGAATGCTGGGGAGAACAAAACATTAAGGGTTAGAAGGAAGGAAAGAAGTAGGAAAAAGTTGGAAGATTCAAAACATCCACAGATTTTCCGCAAGCATGGGAAAGAGCAGGGCTTTTTGTGTTCCTCACTAAGTTCCTGAAAAACCCTATACCCTTTGCTAAGACTCACACCGTCATTGGCTGAGGAAAATCAAGGATCAGATAAAAAGGTCCCTAGAAGACCTGACCACTAGACAACTACACTGGCTGCTTGCTATTGATGTGAATTGATTTGTGAAGAATTTTATCAGTACTGAATGTTCCTTAAGTAGCTACTAATCAGGATAAAGGGGAGGAGGTCAGAGACGTCTGCTCCAAACAGGGAAATCAGAACACCTAACAACCTTAAAAAAAAAAAACAACTGTCCAGTGCTGACATAATTTATTTTCCCCAAGAGATACACTGCTGTCTTTAAAAGTCTGCGTCTCTATAGAAGAAACCTTAGTACAGAAACAGACCTAGAAAGGTGATGTACATCAGAAGTACAAAGAACCACACAGGTGGAAGTACATTTTAGTGTTGCTTCTTTATACCATCCCTCACCATTCCTAAAGCCAACAGTGGAGATGGAGGCACGGGCAAGAATTCCAAGCTAATTCCAAGTGGGAAGTGGCAAGCGTAATTGAAATGTCATGGCAGATGATACCATAGTTGCTGCAGCCCAACTGCAAAGTGGTGGCTAGATAGGTAGATCAGAGCCAAAGATGCATTTCCTTAGTGCTGAGATGCAGGTCCCATTAGCTACAGGGTCAGAATACATAGGCACAGTGATAAGGCTCTGAAATAGTCCAAAAATTGGACTCGATGATTCTTATGGGTCCCTTCCAACTCAGGATATTCTACGATTCTATGAGATCTTAACAAGCAACACCCAGGAAAAGTAGGGAAATTTCTGAAGATACAGACTCAGAACAGGACTCTGACTTAAGGAACACAGAGATTTAAGACAAGTGATAATGAGTAGCTAGCTGGTTGCTTGAATAGATCACTGCTTTTGCTGTACTCAAGAAAGGGTGCTCTACCTCAGAAAAGTGTTTTACCTGCACTCATTGCAAAGTTCAGCAAAAACCTCTGTAGCTTGACCACCCTCTTGTATCACATCCAACATTGGAACAATTTATAGGGGAGGCAATTCTTAGGTCTCTCCAGGCTAAAACAGGCATCTGAATCTTGGGTCTGAGAATTAAATAAAATCCTCAAAAAAAGAGTAGCAAAAGAAAGAAATTTGATGACCTTGAAGACTGAACCCTGGAAATCCAGTAAAGAAAGAGAAATGTTTGGACACAAAGATTTATTTTCTAAAGAACGGTGAATACGCCTGCATGCCGCATTCAAAGGCTATTAAGACAGACTGCACTGCTATTTGAGGCTTTAGATACCTCATCTTTTCAAGGATGTTTTCATAAAAAGTAAAAACTCTGTAAAAACTGATTTCTTTGATTATGTCCATGTGCACATGCTAGCTGAAGGAAACATGAGAGCTTTCTTCTGTCTGCCTCAGGCCAAAAACAGAAAACTTGGTATTATTTCACACTTTTTTTAATAGGTAGATAATCAACATATGGTTTCCTACATCAAGTAGAGAAAAGCAGTTGTGGAAAACTAGTATCTTCACCTGACACAGCTTTCAACAGAATACAAACCTGTTTAAAGCTATTGCACCAGCTCAGATGTGCAAATACTTCAGCAGTCATAAGAAATTAGTACCTAATAGTTGTCAATTTATTTGTAGCAATTCTGTAGTAATTTCACCATCTAGTACATTACCAGAAAGCCTAAGACACACAACTGACATCTCTTACTTCTTCAGATGGTCCTTTCTAGAGAAAAATCACTGGACTATCAAGTTGGGAAACTGATTCTAAGCACCTAAACAGTTTCTGCTACGTACTCCAGGAACTATAGAAGTTATTTCATTGTTGAACAAAAGAGTTCCCTTTACTTAGAAATGCTTTCTAAACTTTTATTTTCCTTGCATGATTCCTCAAATTTTAAGTGATTGCTGGATATATAACTGAATATATTTTATTGTAGTTCATTTTTAACTATTAAAATCCAGTTACAATACTCATCTACAACAAAGTAACTCTTTTCTATGAAAAAATGTAACTATGAGATTAAACTGCAGATCTTCAGATTCTGATAAATTCTGACCAGATGCTATGTCCACCTCTGACCAATTAAGCAAATACATTTCTATAACATATAAAAAATAATGCACTGTTGTACTTAACACACTTGTTTGCCAGCAGGTTTGACAACTGCCCCGATGACAAGGTTCTTCGCATCTATGAAGCCCACAGTTGAGTTTGCGGCCACAAACCAAAGAACACTTATGCTCCGTGTCCTAGAGGAAGGCAAAAAAAAGAAAATTAGAATTAAACTATAAAATCCATAGGTTTCTTTTTCTCTGTGAGGTCATAATACAGCAATTGCAAAATCTTCAGGATGATAATGAGTCATTGTAATGGGTGAGTTTCCGTAGCAGGGCTAAGAGGCACACATCTGTTGAGGTGACCAATCAACTACGGAGGTTTGCTGCCTGCTGCAGACCCTAATCGTGGATATTGTGAAGGGAGTGCCTCTTAATGCTATTGCCTACTGCTATTCCATGTTGTCACAAGTGATAAATGCCAGAGCAAACCTGGACAGGACCAGAAGTAACTACAGAGCTCAGGGGGCAGTACTGAAGCGTATGTGGGCTCAGGTACTGTTCCTGCTGGCAAAGGGGAATGGGTGTGAGAAAGGCACTAAAAGAAGAGTTCAATAACTGGCTGCAGAACTAGTGCTGGTATCAGGGTTTTGGGTTCTGTGATCATGGGGCCTTGTTTGCAAATCAGCATCTACTTGGAAGAGACAGGATCCAATAGTAGGGCTTTAAACTAATGTTGGGGGAGGGAGAGAGTAATGCACCAACCCTGTGAGGGAGTGACAGACAAGGTTAACAAGAAATTGGCATAGGATGACCTGACAGGAAGGTATAACAATCAACAAAAAAGGGGCTGAAGCAGGGTCACCACAGCACTTCTATGTAAGCAAGGAAGTGCCTACAAGAAATCCCTCAAATCCTTTCTGGGAACTTAATACGTGGGGGTACCTCCCTGAAGTACACACACTGGTGAATAACAGGGATGAAATAGAGACCTGTGTGCAGCTGCAGGGCTATAATCTTGTTGGGATCATGGAGACACAGTGGGATGGCTCCCATGATTGGAATATTGCAATGAAGGAATACAGACTTCTTAGGATAAGCAGGCTGGAGAAACAAGAAGGATTTGTTGTACTTTGTGTGACAGAGCAGCTGGAGTATATGGAGCTCTGCCTGAGGATGTACGAGAACAACTGTGAAGTTTCCTTCCTTGGAGCTATTCGGAAGCTGTCTGGACATGGTCCTAATTAAGTAGCTCTAGGTGGTCCTGCTTGAGCAGTGGGGTTGGACCAGATAACCTCCAGAGGTCCCTTCCAACATCCTCAACCATTCTGATTCTCTAATTTTCAAAACTGTGTAGTGCAAAAAATAGCTTAGGCCTGATCTATACAGTTATTCATTACCGCAGGGATGTACAGTTTTTAAAGTTGATTTTGCTACGACTTAGCTGCATCATAGCTTATAGTTCTTGTATTAAATGATCTCTCCCTTGTCTGTTTTCCCTGGAATCACTGGTCCAACAAATAGCACCTTTACTGCATTTGCACAGAATGTGTTTTTGCAATTAAAAAATACACAAAATAAATGCTGCAGAGTAAGTGCACACACAAACGTTTGGAGCACGACTAGTACTAGAAATAGAGAAGACACACAAAAATGCAAGGATGCAAAGGCAAATAAGTCTTTCAACTTCACAACAAAAAACAAACACAGTTTACCATGAAGAGCTTTATAAAACCACACATGCACTTACCACACAGCAAACTTCATTACACTTGTGTCGTCCACATGATCTTTTTTTGTTGCATCGCTTATCACACATGAATGTAATAGCAGCTATTACAGAAAAAAAGAAGACATAAGTCATGATTTACTCTTTGCTCATGCTGAGAACAAAAGCTGCAGTCACAATATTATGCTAAGGCTGTTGCAAGACCTGGTCTAAAAGACAGTAACGCAGAGTAAGTCAGCATGCAAAAATTTAATCACTTGTTCAAAAGGATTTTGGAGTGCAGAATAAGTGAGACTGGTTTATTTCACATTATTCTTTATACCATAAAATCTGCGAACAGAACACACAAAATAGGATACCCTGATACACTGAAGTATCACAAATACAGTTTAAGACTGCTCAAATTGGTATAAGAGTGAAAATATCAGCTAAATACTGCTGATATGGTGACGAAACTGGCACTACAGAAATTTTATCACCATCTACCGGTAACATGCGCAGTTACTTCTGAATTCTGAAAAGTAAAGCCTTCATAGCCAAAAGCTCAAATTAGGAAATATGCATATTACTATCCTGTAAATAAGTACCTCAGTATGATAGGGGTCCATCAAGTAAATATTTTCCCTATATTGAGATTCTTCAAAGAGCTTTAAAGGTTAGATAGCATAAAGATTAGGTTTTGTATTTGTGGCCAATTGCTATGACTTCTCCAAGCAAGTATCCTCACCGTTCTGGATAGCCAACAACCATCACAAAAGACAGGAAATGCAACAAAGACAACATTTAGTGACCTCCTTCCACAGTAGCTCAGCTAGATACAGAGGATTACTACTGTGGTGTAGTTAAACTACTGTTCCAGGTCTCCTAGCTTTCTTCCACGTGTGGGGTGATGTCTGGAGTGGTGGGAATGGCTGGAAACATCCATCCATCCTTCCTTTCATTTCCCTCCTCTAAAATGACCTCTCTTGATCACCTGCAAGATCAGCAGATAACAGAGTGCTCCCTATGACTGGCCATTTGGTGTTCATGAAGCAATATTGCAGTAATTCTACATAGAGCAAGACTGTGACATCTTTACCTATTTATATTTATCAGCCCTAGCAATGCCCTTTGCATGAAATGCTGCTGTAATCCAACCTGCAAGGCCATTCTCAAGGAGTTCCAGTCCGTGATGCTGACAAAATAATCTTAGTCAGATTCTTTAGTTTGAAACAAAGACAAAATTCCCAGATCAACTCCTGCTCTGGTTGAAGGCCAAAGAGCTTTCAGAACAGATTTCAGGAGCTTTTTTTTGCTTTTTTTTTTTTTTTTTTTTTTAATCTATTTAACATAAAACACAGTCTATCAAAATTTGAGAATGAAAAACTGGAGACAGTATATCAAGACAAAGAAGAGCAAATAGCTAAGGAAAATCCTGGACAACTGGAACTGAACAGAACAACAGAAAAACTCAAATTAGCTCAGAAGTTACACCATCTAAAATTCTGTAATAGAAAAAAAAATCTAAGATAAAAACATACTGCAGAGATACAAGATCAGTGTCAGAAGCTGAAAAATGAAGATTAAATCTTGCCAACAGTCTGCTTGTTTCTGAGATTTGCTTAACATTTATCTTAAAGTGAACAAGAAGATACTAACATTTCTAATAACAAAGTATATCATAAACACCCTCCTCTCTTACTCAGATGTAGGTTTGTGCTTTTCCAGACAGCACCACTTCCCTGGAGAAATTCTTCTAGGAAGTGGTTCTCTTCACATTTACCCTCACTGAGCTGATTTTTGAGATGCTACGTCCAGAATACCCTAAGTACCAAATTCAAACTCTCTGCTGAGCTCAGATATGAAGACCAGCAACACACAACTATGAAGCAGAATGAAAGCTTCCATTTCTACAGGAATTTGGACAAGAACAGAGAAACATCATTACTTTGTATCCAAGCTGTACAAGATGACGCAAAGATGTGCAGGATGCCAGGGGGCAACCTGTTGAATAGAAAGAAACTGTTCAAATTGAAATAGAGCTTGCTTGGAATGTTCAAGATCAAACAGTGCGGAAAATCTTTCCTTGTTTAACAGACGGATAGAAGGGAAAGACACTTAGCAGCATCCCAAGAAATGACCAACTTGACATAGAAGTAATGATAAAAGCAGCAGTATTGTTCAGATACTTGCCAACTTCTTGAATCAAAACCAAAATTAATATGAACTGCATCTCATTTTTTAAACTTTGAAAAAAAATCAGATTACATATTACATAACATATTATAATACCTTTATTCCTGAGCAGAGCACATGGGACTTCCTAGAAAACAAACATAGGAGCAATTACATTAGAACAAATGAATCAACTGAAACTTACTCATCTAGAAAGCACCTAGTCACATGTGATACAGAAAAAAGTTTTCATGAGCATAACACATTTGTATAGGAGAAAGAAACAAAAGCTGGAAAAAAAATCCTAAATTCATGCATTATATCACATTTCAATTTTCACTTTCAATCTTGACCTATATTTTTTCCCTTATAGATTTAACACCAACAAGAACTTGTAGTTTAGTATTCCTCACTTAATTCAGTAGGTAATGCTGTGAAGTAATAGAAACAGGATTGTCCTATGAAACCAGAAACCTGCATGGAGGACAGCAAAAGAGCTCTTCTGGAGAGTACTAATAAAACACAAACTTGTACCTTGACAAACTGCAAAACTGACTTGATTCAAAAAAAGTCAGCTCTCACGATTGAAAACTTTTTATGTAGATAAGAAGACTTCAACATGAAAATAAAAAGCTCCAGAAATAGTACCCAAGGATTTCAAAGCCATGGTTACACACTGTAGCCCAGTTTAAAAATATATTAATTAATATATCACAGTTGCTGAGAATCTGCTGGGTCCTTACATAAATGCACTAAGAAAGAAGACCAATAAAAACTGATAATCTCTCAAAATATTTCAACAAATCTACAATCTATTTATTGCTATACAGTTGTAGTTACCTTAGTATTTTAGACTACCTTTCTCCCAGTTTACATTACTCTTGGCAAAACTATCATTCTTTGAGCCATGTAAATACTGCAGGACCATATGGGGCTTTACAGACACCTTAGACAAATAAAATTCTACATAAAGGCTACAAAAATCCTTGCAAAAAATGTGTTCATGATAAATTGCCTGTGTAAGTTACCACTGTGTAACTGCCTGTGTAAGTTGCCATGGTAAATTACCACTTCACAGTATAATCTAGTTAATATATGTTTATCAGATGTAACACAATGCTGTCTCTTGCAACTATGGAGCACAGCACATTTTTAGCGTCCTTTTCCTCAACCACTTCAGCTCCTTTTTCTCCACAACATCAAAAAACACCAAAGACTACCTGCTTCCATGGTCAAGCTTTATATGTGCTCACCTTTTTTTTGAAGCCACATCTACAATAAATATTTGATGTTTGAGAACATGGTTTACACTCTCCTTCATGGCAAAGGCTTTCACATGTATGAAGGAACTCTATCAAAGTGAAAATACAAAGATTAAAAATTAAAGAAATAAATTACATGGTAAGGAACTGGGAGTTTATTAGGAGCATGAGAAGTCACAAATACTATGTGTATGTGCAGTGGGGTTTCTAAAAAAATAACATTTTCCATCAAACAGGCATAAAAAGTTTAAGGACTTCACAATACCTTGTTTTATGTATTGTGGCATTACATTGCTGTTATTTTCAACTCTATAATACTGACTATATAGACTAAAGTTTCAGGTCAACAATTAACATTGAAAATGCATACATATTTGTTATGTTTTATTAACGCATGAAGAAAAAACCCTGAGTGATAATATCCTTACACAAGTTCCAGGAATTTTAAATATACAAATTTTTCTTCCTTTTCATCCCAAAGGGATGACTTACCATGCATAACCTAGTAAGTTAAATATGAAGGTAACTGAAATTCCAGTAAAATGTAAATTTGGACAGTCTGAATGGATCAATCATTAACAAGCCCTTATTTTTTCAGCACTAGACTCTCTACAAGTGTAGCAATTTATGACTAAATGAGTGGCCTTATAAAAATAGAGTTCTTCATACAATCTCTCTGTTAAATACACTTTAGTTACCTAATGCACTCAATGAAGTACCAATTTGCTTCAATTTCCACATAACTTCTTCCTTCTCAACCGCCTAGCGCCATGTTTCATGTTTGTGGCCCAACACGTTTCACTTTGTGGCCACAGTAAATGAGTATTTATTAGAGGCTTCTGAACAAATCAAAATAATTCGTCTCTACTAGTCTTCACATGAACCACGAATACTTAAAGTAGGCTTTTAAGAGACCTCAGAAAATATTACTTGTTGAAAATTACTACCACTCTTTTCCTCTACTAATACAGAAGTCCACATAACAACAACTAGTGTTTAAATTTTGTTTAATGGCTTCTAGACAAATACATTTACTCATTTTGAAGTATAACTTTGAATCAACACAGTCTCTCTCACTCAATTTGTTAATACCCAAATCACTAATAAAATATTTCAGGAAATGAAACAAGTTCCTTTTTCTTTTTAAATGAGAATTCATAATATTCTGATGGAGAAAGATCTGATTACCATAGCTACCACAAGAAAGAGGTTTGCCACATGTTTTTCCACACGACGGGATAGGATCTGTGCATATTTTACGTTCAACACATCCTAGTTCCAGTAACTTGCTGAGAGGAGTCTGACCACAGGGACAGCGATACACTACTTGTGGAAGTCGTGGACAGAGCTGGCAAGGCTGAGGATGGCATATCTGTGTACAGTTGTGCCTCCCACAATTTAATTTTCTAGAAAAACAACAAAAATAACAACAACAAAAAAACAAATAAAATGAAAAAGGCGAACTACCTAGGAATGACATGAACATTTAATGTGAGTAAAATGACCTTCTTTCTTTTCAAAAGCCTAAATTACAGTGACCTTACTTGCCACATGTATTCTGGCATGAGAAACTCCCAAATCCATCAGAGAATTCTTCCTTTGTCCCACACAATACTTCTTTAAAGTTGCTTCCACAGTAACACACTAAAAGAAAGAAATATTCCACAGAAAACAACATAAAGTATCAGTGACAAAACAGCAGTACAACATATACAAAAAAGGAAAATCTGGGAAACTTATCAGTCAGTTTTTAGAAGTACAATGAAGTTGCTCTTCTTTAGATTTAACTCAGCAACAGAGATTTCTCAGTCCTAGAGAGGATGGAATTCCTCTGTTATTTGTTTTGAAAAGGAGAAAAAAAGCTGAAGGGAAAGCTCTATTTGCACAAAAAGCTTATTTATTAAAGCAGTACACATATATGTACCAAGTTCAGTATTACCTTAAATGTCAAGAAAATTAAATTACAATTTTATACATAAACTGTTCAAAAATTTTTATTTGCTTTTGTATACTGGCAGATATACTTGGACAATTTAATTGCCATTTGAGATCAAAACACCAGTAGCTTGTTGAAATGTATTATGATTCTTTCTATTCTTTTTCATGTACTATTAAATCTTGGAATTATATCACAAGATTAAGTAGAATCATAGGATAATTCATTCAGGTTGAACGGGCCCTCAGGGGTCAGACAATCCAAGGTCTTACTTAAAACTGAGTCAGTGATTACATCACATTACTCAGTTTTACCCAGTTGAGTCTCAAAAAAAATCCAAGTTTTCAAGAAAAAAAAATCTTTATAACCAGTTACAACATTTCATTTTAGCCCACTGCCTCATCCTCCTACCATGCACAGCCTAGCTCTCGTTTTGATTACCTCCTCTATCAACTCTTGAAATGCTTTAGTCTCTCCTAACACTTCTAAATCTAACAGAATCTAGTTCCACCCATCCTCATAGAGAGGGTGCTCCAGCATCCTAACCATCATTCTTCTAGTTCAAAATTCTTCTAATCATGTCTATATTCCTAGTTAACTAAACAGCGATCCTGATAACTTTTCCAAATTTTAAATATTTTACCAATATATATTTTTTTATTTTTTAAGTAAATCACTCGCCTCTTGGAACTGTTTTTTCCCTCCTCTTGTTTTCTTAGTATGCATATCATGAGTGGATATGCATAAGGCATTCTGTTACTTACCTTGCTGTACTGTTAGCTGGCAAGGCGCACATTTTCCTGCATGGCACACCTGGGTACAGCTGTGCTTACCACAGTTTAAAGTATTTCCACATACATTAGAACAATGAATTTTTGTTGATTGGCCACAGCGAACTGAATGACTGCAAAGAATACCACAGTCAGTTAGCTACCTTAAAACTATACAACATTTATTAAAAAAGCAAAATGCTGTTTCAGTAAAATAACAAAGCCTTTGAAAAGGCACATAACTTAAAGAACTGTTAGGAAATATTACCCCATCTTCCCAATAGCATAAAAGTCCACTGAGCACAACGAATATAGTGATATGGACCTTAATAGTGAGTCAGCAGTCTGTCGAAATACTTCTTGCAATTAAAGAACAATAGTATCTCCTGTCCTACCCCCAGTGTGGCCTGAATTTATCTCACATTGATTGCAGTCACTTAGTCAAGAAAAAGTACAACAACCCCCTACGTTGTTTCTCTTACATTAATACATTTTATCAATTCTTTTTTTTTTTTTTATAGGATGCTTGCAAAGGTTATCAGCATAAATTGCATTTTATTGTAAAATATTATGGCTCTAAAGCTTAAAAATTTCTCAGTCTCGATACAGTTACAACAACTGACTTTACCCACTTGAGTCTTCTTGGATTAATCACATATCACGTATGACCAAAAGACATTGTCAGGCTTCTCCAGAAAGGGAAGTTTAAAAAAAAAAAAAAAAATGTAATACCAAAGAGATCAAATCCAATGTCTTAATAGCATTAATGTCTTCATGTGCATGTGTCAAAAATAAAATAAGCAGAGCTGAAATTAAAAAAAAAAAAAAAAAAAAAAGCGTGTGTGTGTTGGGGGGGGGAATAAACATACACTGTTTTATATTCTGGCCTGCTAGCAAACTTATCTTAAACAATTACTGCAGAATGTTTTAAAGTTGCTATTTCATGTAGACATCTTGAAGTCTGAGGTGCCACGCATCTTGGATGCTGATACAGTACATATGACAAAATCTATTTAGAACCAAGTTTTAAATGTTAAATGCAGTATTATAAGAAAACTGCAATCTGGTGGCACTTGGGAAAAATAATGTTCAAGGTTGTTTCATCTGTTAAAATGTTAATTGCAAGGAATATCAAGAATAAAAAGAAGTAATCTTATCATATAAATTAAATTCGGTAACCTATAATTAATCCATTTCCACTGAATATAAAGTGCTTTCAGCTGCAAATACTTCGACAGAAACAGCTGCACCTTCTTTTAAATAATTAAGGTGATTTAATATTACATTCAAACTTTCAGAAATAATTGTAGAAGTCTGTAAAACACTCGTGGACTAAGAATGCTCACTGAAATAGGTTTTTGTCTTTATTCTTGAAATGAGCACAGGCAAATGTTTAATTACACAGAATCAGTTATGGGAGCTATAACTATGTCTCAGAACAATTGAACATGAACCATCATAAAGTATGGGCAGTACATTCTTGCTGTTGACAACGATATTACATGCATCAAACATGAAAGGAAAAGACAGTCTTCAGGACTGGAATATACTACAGACTACCCTCTTGTTAGTGGTACAGCTTCTCAGAACTGTATTTGAAATTATATTTGAAATTATCTCTGGAATGGAATAAATCAAAGTTACATTCAATTTGGACAGAAAAGGTGTGAACTTTTTCCTAATTCTTTCACTGGGTCTCCTACAAAAGAAAATAAATACTAGAATGTGACTGAAAAAAAAAATCACATCAACTCAGACTGCTTGGACAACTCTGCTCCATGTCCCAACATTTTTTTCTTAAAATGAAAAATAGCTTTTTTTTTTAAATATAAACTTCTCCAACTGATTTTAACAAATAAATAAAAGCTAAAGCTCAGAAGAAACTATATAAACTTTAAATAGACTATAATACAGAAAAAGCATTATATAAACTTTTAATAAACTATTATTACATAAGCTTTGTTTACAGAACAAAAATTTTCTACCTTGTTTGTCCACATTCGCATGTTTTTGTCACAAAGGCTGGGCATGAAGGACAAGGTCCTGGATGGCACAGGCTTAAAAATAAGTCATAAAAAGCAAACAGAATTGCACAATTAACTCAAACTCCATGACACTCCTACAGAAATAAACCACAATGACCTAAAAATATAGATTTTTTTTATGGAGCAGTACATTCTGAAAACATCATATATGAAGTCTTTACTCCTGCAGAACATTCACGCACTTTAACTCATGTAAAAATAATCGAGATGGCTACAATTGTAAAAGTCTCAAACACTTTAAGACAATGATGTTGAAGGAAAAGTTTCATATTCCTGTCAAATTAATAGTAACGTTGCTACTTATATATTTAGCATTTTACCCTTCAGTTACAGGCATGCATCAATTCAACTGTGTTCATTCCTCAAACATTACATGCCCAAACCATTAACGCGTTTTCTTTCTTCACTGACCAACAATTACAGACCAAAACTTTTCTATGAAGTTTCTTCTTTTCCTTGGTGGTTGCAGCAAGTCTGTCTCAGTTTTCTTTCTAATCAGCAACTGCAATTTCCTGTGTATCACAAATGCCAGTCCTCTACTTGAATAGCAGATCTCCCCTCCTACGTCAAGGAACATTGTATGGTCCCCCTACACATTTAAGGGCTCCGTAAGGCACAGACAAGCCTAGGTTTGTAAAATTAAACTTAGCTAATTTGTCTGTGTTCTTCCCTAGCCAGCTTCCAGTCCCCTTCTTTTGGGAATACAGCAACTTGCATCCAGAGCAGTTCTCATAAATCAGAACTGGCCAGTCCACATGTCCTATCTTAAAACAAACAAAAAAAAAAACACCCCAAAACAAAAAAGAAACAAAACAAGCCAAGCAAATACACTGAAAAAACATCAGCAGCCTATCCAATTACAACACAATTACCAAATTCCCCAAGTACAGTCACTATGCAAGGACAAAACAGTACATCTCTTGTCATAACCAAGAGCAATATAATTGAGTCATATCAGAAGTTCATCAACAGTGATCCATCTTTATTCTTATCTGTAATAAGAGACTGCAGCTTTATAGCGAGCCTCCTTCTGACCTACTGTCAGGAAAGTACCACACAGTTAATTTCCATGTCTACAAGTTTTGCTAATGTGCATTTCTGAGTTGTTTTAAATGAGACTGTGTCATTTTATTATTACAAACAGAATTCTAGTAATGCCACAACCAGTCTTTTGAAACCAAACTTCTGACTTTAAAAATAAGTATTCTTTATGGATCCCTGTAGATGTATGCACTCACACACTACTTCTCTAACAAGTAGTTCTGGTATTAAGTTTATGAAGAACCTACAGACCACAGAACTTACTTAACCAATACTTAAGATTAAGAGACATTCAAAACTCATTTAATCCTTTTACACAGGCACACAGAGAAATTGCAGAAAATTTTCTTTACATGATAAAGACTGATGACACCTCAGAGTTTTAGTGTGTTTTAAGGGACAGAGCCAAAAACACAAACAACTCTGTTACAAAATAAAAAGAAAAAACAGATACCAAAGACCTCAGTATTAAGTTCTGTTCAGTGCATTCATACTCTTATTTTTGCTGAACCTTGATTCTGTCTTCAGCATGCATGATTTCTTTCACAAGCTATTGCAGTTATATGCTATTCTAGAGAAATGGCATACCGTAAAGGCTGTGATGATAGATGCAGATAGACATAAGAAAAATTAAACTTAGATCTGCCTGACAGTAAAAGTATTAGATTTGACAATACAGCTCCAAAAAACTTTCTGCAACTGTTGTGAAGACTACAGCACCAAAGACCTACAAAGGAAAACCAAACATCTAGGCTTAAAACAGTACAGAGAATAGAGGGAAAGTTGCAGTTACTGCCTTTGTGAGATCTTTTTCAAATGCTCTCAAAGCTGTTGATAAGTCTGTCATTACAGACTTGTCTTCATGTATGTCAGATGAAGACAGATACGCTAAGAAAAACACAATTTTTCTGACTAGCAAACAGTTGTATATTGAAATAGCTGGCCTAGTGCTGTTAATCTTGTGGATACGATATTACATCCACACTGCTAAAGAAGACCTAAGGAAAACATCCAAAACTGAAAATAAAATTGGTCTTTGCCTCTCTTCAGGGAGTTATACAAATAAATGCTAATAAAAACAATCCAAGTTACATATACTGATTGCGATCTCCATAAGGATTTTGTTTCATTAGGCTGGTGGTTTGAACAAACGGATAAAAGCATTACATATAATGCCTTCTAAACCTCAACAGTTTACAAGCCAAAAAAAAAAAAAAAAAGAAAAACAAAGTATAGAAGTAAGTGGACCTTTAGTCAAATCAAGAACCACTACTATTTAGATTAAGATATACATGTTCCATTACAGGAAAAGAGGCACCTAAAAATCTCTGGTGGAGACACATTTAAATTACTTTTATTCACTACTTTCTTGACTTCCACTAAAGTTCTTGAAACCAAGTTACGCAGCTGGTTCAGCTCCTACAATAGGATTGAAATGTTGATACAACTGTTGCATCTGACCTCCTGTACATCCTCTGATATGAATTCACTTTACACTACCACAAATAGCCTCTATTTCTTTCAAGCTTCAGTTGAGCTATATACCAGATACACCTGTAGACCTACAGTCAAAAAGAATTCAAATACAGTCTTCAGAAGTTTTCTGAAGTTCAATTGTCACATGACATTTACTTACATGTTACAAAGATGTGGGCAGTCCAAAGTCTGTCTCTTCTTTCCACAAAGCTCCCCACAGCTATGTGGAATTTCATTTCTATTCCATTCGGGATTGTGTACCTTACCTAAAAAAAAAAAAAAGTCAAAGTCACAAACATGTGTATTGACTTGAGTATAATATTCAATTTGGGAGAAATATTAGATCAAAAAGAAAAATTTCTATTTTCAATACTGAGTAATCTTATTTGAAAAGCAAAACAACATGTTTCATGGTTTTTGTTTTTTTTTCTTTTTTTTTTTAATCTCATTGCAGATATATACTTAACATCTTTAAAAGTAAATTCCACAGGAATATCAAGCTCCAGAAGATTCTTTCCTTCTATGCTCTCAGCAGGCACTTGGGTAGTTGTTACTTGACATCAAACTAAACTAACAAAACACAAGAAAGTGAAAAGGTCCCTTTAGTTGATCAGACTGTATAGTAGGTAAGAAAATTAAAAGGTGCATCCCCCTTGCTGCCTCAACGCAGAAAAATAAGATACCATTCCCAATACGTAAGATCTAGCAGGTACAGAGATGGAGAATGGGGGCAGCATGAAATGACTGTACAAATTATAAAAGTGACCTCCCTAAAAAGAAGCAGATTCTGCATAAAACTTAAATGTTGACATTTTCATGAATGCAGTAGGAAGTCTCGAACAAAAAGTGATAAATCCTTTAGGTTACACTCATGGAATATATGAGGCTTTCAGGTAAGCACTGAAACTACGTTTTAACTGAACTGACGTATTCTTAACAACTCTTGTAGCTCTAAGAGCATGAGATGATTGTCCTGGTTAAAGTTAATTACCACATTTCATCACAAAGGCAAATCTAATTTGGCTGTCTGCAAGAGAAGCAACTGAACTAGCATTACAAATTAGAGCTGCAACAATTAAGGACACCAAGAAAATGTATTTTTTAGTGACATGACTTTTAGTACACCTATATTGTAAGTAGCAAGTTAGAAAAGCATGAACACACAGCATGGATGGCCTTTATTCACCAGGAAAATCCTGAAAATTTGAAGATTCTAAAGAAAAATAAGCCAGGAATTTCCTCCATGCAATAGAGAGGGGAAAAAAATAAAAACCACCACCACTAACGAAAAACCACAAGGCTTGACCACTCTCAACAGAAATTTAGTATTCTGCAACAAATACAAGGCAGACTTGCATAATAAGTAGCTGTTAAGTCCAAATGCCTTATCTGTCATCAATGTAAAATTATCTACAGATTAAATGTTTATGTTCCAACATAGTGCTCCACTAATATTGACCCTGTGGACAACCTGAAGTTCATACCAAAGATCTTCCAAAATTATGTAACAAATCAACTTAGCCTAGGCAGAATCTTTCTTATTAACAGATGGATGACCTGTCTTGAAAGTAAAACTTTCATCTGGAATCAAAACAGTCATTCTACCTGAGTTATTAACCCTGTACACATTTCAAATGACTGTCGTAACAGGAACTCTATATGTCTTACCTGAAATTGCATTGTTCTTAATTGACTCACTGAACCATTTAGATAAAGAGAATCTCGGGTAAAATTGTTACCTATTACAGTGTAAATTTAGTTTCTGTAAGATAAGTTCATTGACTGTCTATATTCCAAAATAAGCTATTTGGTAGGAAGAGGGGTGAAAATTTCTAGTGCCACATTTACTGAAGGAAGGGAAAGCTACATGAAATCAACACAAATTTCGGAAGTGTAAATCCCAAACAATTTATCTGCATGCCTGCAATTAAGTAACATCATTTATTTCTCACTTCTTGTCATACACCTATGGCTTAGTGGATATTGCACTCAATTTCACCTACCTTTTTCATTAAACATGTATCTACATGAAGTCTGAATAGTCCTAATACTCTTTTCTATTTAACCCATATGTGTCCCTGATAAACATAAGTAACAAAACTGCTACATTCATACAGCCACTCTTGTTTTCTTACAGTAACATCAGTTGTATGCTTGAGTTATATATTATTTTGGTGCATCATGGCCACAAAAGCAGACATAAGATACAGGTTATTTCAATCCTCCTACAGAAGGAAAGCTTTTAGGATAGAAGCCCAATTCTAGTAAGTGTTTTTATATAACTATATGATAACATATATAAATTATGATTTGTTTTGATGTTTTAAGCAATACACAGGGGTGTGATTTTCTGTGCGGCAGCCTTCCAAAATCAATAGTTTTAAACAAGGTTAAATTTCAAGGACATAGGCAAAGGTGCAACAAAACAGAATTCAAAAAAAAAAAAAAGAATCAAAACAACAGAACCGTTTTTCTTTGCAAAAGCCATCAAGAAACTCACCACAGAAACAAGTGTAAGTTCTAGGAACTTGTGTAGAAGCATTCTGACAAGCTGGACATCTCCAACCACTATTACCATCTGTGGATAAAAAAATTAAAGATAAAAGTGAGTTGAAGTAATAAAAGGAGCTAATTGGTGAGCCTAGAATAGGTACAGGAAAACAACAGGAAACAATATGAGAGTAAGTGGTGATAAAGCAGGTTAAAAAAAGCTAAGTTTTTACAGTATCAACATAAACACAGCAGCGGTACTTCATCTGACCTGACAGACTCATACTTTATATAGAAGCAAGAACATTTTTTTTTTAAGTTGGACTTCTGTTGTCATGTTCCCTGTTGTAAGACAACAATCTACTTCACAGAATATTGACAGTCTTCAGCATATCTGAAGATTTGAGAAAAAAAGCGTTAAAATGAGGGAAATGGGCAAGAAAAATAAAACTACCCACAGACTTAAGCAACACCTAAACTTTCTTTTCATCGTTGTCTCATGTTGTAAGTTTACATGTATTGCAGAAGACCAGTTACATATCACTTCACGCCCTGAATAAATTAGTGCTCTATATGAGAATGATATATTTTATTTAAATGGTGACTACACCTAGCTATTAATATGGAGTCTATTCTTTAACTTGGTATTTTATTAAATAATAGTTTTCTTGCTTCTTTTTTCAGGAAGGTGTTGGTTGGTAGCAATGGAATGTCTTCAGTGTAAGGAAGACAACATTCGTACCTATCTGGCTAGGAACAAATAATCAATTAGGTTGGAAAAGATCTTCAAGATCATCAATCATCAACATGACAAAATGAATACCAGCACTAAACCATGTCCTGTGATGACATTTGTGAAAGCACTATTGGACACAAATTGGTTATATTAATATAAGCCAATTAGGCCTCGCTGTTTCTCTTAACCAATCAGTTCAGATGATTTATGAATACATGCTCATGTTCATGCTCAAGACCAACTTCCACTTCCTTACCAAGATTTATTTGAGTGCTGTAAACTTGTAAGCACCTTATGTGGCTGCTCCCAAAGCCAGTATACTAACCCCTAAGGGATTCCCTATAGTATTATTTTGTACAGCATACTTAGCCATTACATTAACAATGCAATTTCTTTCAATCCTTTTTAAAAGCAGACAACTAATGCTTGGAGTAGTGCTTCTGTTGGACTTCTAAGTCAAACACAGATGACAGAACATGAGATTTCCTGGTGTGTAAAAATGCAGACAGAGCTTTGCATCTTGATGCAATGATTTCATTGAACAATCTTGTATTTACGTTCTAAACACAGAAATCAGTTTTAGCCACAATACTGGAAAGGATCGAAACAGTTAAGAGGATTATATGAAGTATCCAAAGAACCCTGAAAAACACATTTCTGACTTCATATATTTTTATGCTTACTAGTTACCTTAAATTAGACACCATTCAGAAGTAGTTTTCCAACACAGAAAACAAAAATATTTACTATTACATATATTTGAGAGAAAATGTACATATGAGAGAAAATATCTACCTTCTGCTTGAGAAGCCGGTGATCTTGCCCATTTCTTAATGCAATTCAGGTGGAACACATGGTAACAATTTTGGCAGCTCCACACAGGGGCTACTATCCGGACTACCTCACAACATACCATACACTCGTACTTCTCTGTGGTCAGCTGCTCAATCAAGGACCCTGCACATAAAATATATTACTTACATGTAAAACATCAGCTAGTTAATAAAAAATAAATTAAATTCCAAGATTTTATGTAAATTTTAACAGAACTTTTTACTGTGCGGCTCTGAAAATTGTATTATTAGCTTGCCCCTGGAAAATACTTGGTACACATTTCTCTAGTTTCAGAGCAGGAAAACGGAGTATGAGATTTGCATAAAAGTGCCAACAATAATTTCTGTTGACAAACAACAATCATTGTGATCTTACAAAAGAGTTAATAGTTCTTCACCTGCAAGATTGAGGTTTTTACACTACATTTTATATGAAATCATAAAAGTTTACATATATATCATTTACATATGTATCATATAAAGTTTACAACAAAAACCTTGAAGCTTATCAACTGTAGGAGTCTGATTCAAAATTAAATTTCATTCCCATCATTATTTCTGGAAGACTACAAAACAAATAATACCAGTGCTGTACCTGCATTATATAAACCAGACCCTCATAAATTGTTTTAGGAGTGGAATTACTGAGAAACAATAGCCAAAACATAGGTCCTTTTGAGCCAAATGAAAGAATTTGAAAAAGGATCTTGAAAATAAAGCAAGAATTCTAAATGAAAGATGAAACAGAGCCTGAAAACAGAGTTAGATGCACAAACATAACAAAGGCACCACATAACTTCAGTTCTGCCGGATTAACTCTCCCACCAAGTCGAAGATATCAAATACATCTCATAAATACTATTTGACCACGGAATTTTAAAATCTCTTAATTACATAGCTTTCACATAGTTTTTACAAGGGAAGTCAGAACCCATAGCAAATGACAAAAGAAAAATGACTACTAATTCAAAATGTTCTGTACCACAAATGACTTTGAGAGGATGACTATAGATGTCTGGAAAGTTGAAAGTGTGTGTTGGGATTACGTGGCACTGTTTGGGTACCATGGGGGTGCAGGGATGGCCTCTATGAAAAGAATGCAGAAACTGCCCTATGTTAAATAAGGGCCAATTTCAGCCAGCTCCAACGGGACCTGCTGCTGCACAGAGATGTGCCAATAAGTAATGCTGTTTACACCTCTGTGAGAGTATTATTTAAGAAAGGAAAAAAAAATTCTGCTCAACACCAGCTGGGAGAGAGAGGAGTGAGAAACAGCCTTGCAGACACCAAAGTCAGTGAAGAAGGAGAGGGAGGAGGCGCTCCAGGTGCTGCAGCAGAAATTCCCCTGCAGCCTGTGGTGAGGAGCATGGTGGTTGGATCAGGCTGTCCTCCTGCAGAGCCCATGGTGTACCAGGGCAGAGCAGGTTTCCACACTGCAGCCCACTGAGACAACCACAGTGGAGCAGGTGGGGCTGACCTGAAGGAGGCTGTGGCCTGTGGAGGACCCCACTAGAGCAGACTCTGGGCCGGAGCTGTCTCCCACAGAGAGGAGCCCACGCAGGAGCAGAGGGCCTGGGGGGAGCTGCCGCCCACCCGTGGGGGACCCGTGCTAGAGCAGTTTGCTCCTGGGGGATGGATGGACCCCGTGGGACGCAGCACAAAGTGTTCACAGTATTTGCCCTCCTTAATATGGGACAAGCACTTCTGAGCATCACTTCTAGCCATCCTGCATCAAGCACCACAAGATTCAGAATTAACAGTCATTTCTGCTTCCAGTACCCTATGAATTTTACCTGCTGACAAGAAAACAACCATGCCAAAAATTTATTTCCTTACTCTTCTCCAGGAGACTAAAGATATATTGCTCTCAGAAAGGATGGTCGTCCCCTAACAGTTAAAAAGATTCAGTCTCCATGAAAATAGTGGCAGATAGTGTTTCCAATACAGGTCCCAGCTGAAGCATGAAAAAGAAGCGCTGCCAATGTGGCAGAGGAAAGATCCTTAAGTTCCCTGTAAAAGATCACTACCTCTTTTTCTGGTTATTGCATATGATGATCTTCACTTAAGGACAATATTTGGAGAAAAATTGACTATCTTTAATTTTATGATTCAAGTAGAACATCAAATTTCAGGCTCCTGGGCATTTTAAAGCTAGAATGGATCAAGGAAGCTCTTGATCCCTAAGCATCTCGCAAGGGAACAAAGCTTCTTACTGGAGCTGCCTTATGCTTCCTGATTATGCTACTACTTTCTAAGCTCTGAAAGAGAAAAATCTTCACGTAATTCAACAGCACACTCAAGGTAATAAGAATTAGTGTACCAATCTCTTATGTAAGAATAAGGTTAAATCCAGGTTAAACTGTTTCTGGAGAAACAGAAACCAGTACTGTGGCATTGAAGAAATTCAGATTTCAGTTTCATATTTTAAGTCCCTAACTATAGGAGTTGCTACAAAATTCACTCAGGCAGTGAAAACTTAAGGGTGTGCTTTTCACCAACAACTGCACATGGCTCTACTCCCAAATTCCAAAACCAGTATCTAGAGACATTTTCCATTTCTAATTACTTTTTGGTACTACTGTTGTAAAAAAAAAAAAAAAAAAAAAAAAAAAGGAAAATAATCCGGTTAGGAACAGAATGCAATTCTTCAACCAGGAATTTTCCTCCTTTTACATAAAACAACTTCCTCCACAAAAATCAATTTTTGAATTATCCCTCTCAAGACCAAATGTTCAAAACACCCACAACAAATGTTTTAACACAATGTCTGATTAGGCCATCATTTGCAGTTTGGTAGTAAAACAAACTTTTTAAAAAAAATATGTTCTCTCTAGTAAACTTACGGGGCATCTGCCCACCAGAAACCACACATTTACCTTTAGTTCTACCTCTGGAAACTGATACTGGCCTAATGTGAAATAATAAGCATCTTCAGCTAATCAAGTATGAAGGCAATTTAAATTATTTAAGATCATATCTTTAATACCATAGTACACACCAGTCTAGAATGCTTACCTGTATGAGTTTCCTTGTTTTTTGGTATATCGCTTTGCTTCTTCCAGTACTGGGTCCAGCTGAAATGAAGGGAAGATACCTGATCCCCCTTTAGCAGGAACTTTCTTCCATTACATCTGACAGAGTCAGACAATTCATGCTTGCTCTCACTGGTCAAGTTTTCATCATTTTTGCAAACAGAGAGTTCTTTCTTCCTCTCATTTTTATCTTTTGGAGTATATGCATGTGAAGACTTCTTACCTACTTTTGTATTTTTACTACGATGAGAATCATGTCTTCTCTGACTCTCTTTTTCCGCTGGGGGTTTATTCCACACGGGCTTCCGGGGATATCTTTTGTTTACGTAATTGTAGCCTTTCTGCTCATCCCCACTACCATTCGGTGCCTCACAGAATGCCTTTCCAACAGATGACTCTGAAGAGTCAGACTGACTCAAATCCAAAGATGGAACATTTTCAAACAGCTCTGCTTTCTGTTTAGAGTTAATTCTTTTTTCTCGCTCATGTATTTGCCTTCCCTTCTCCCTGAAACCTCTTCCAGATGCATGCATCAAGTGTGTTTTCTTTGGCTTTGCTCCTCTGCTATCTGCATTAGGTACATCCCTATCACTCTCTGAAGAGAGAAGGTCATTATATCCTCTAGGAGGTGCTCTTCTTCCATGTACCATTGCAGCATCTGAAGTTCCTGCACTTGCAGCAGTATCAGTAGTACTTTGTCTTACCTTATTTCTAGCACAGGTGCTATCATTTCTTGATCTGTGCCACCTCTGGCTTTGAAAGTAGCGATTTTTTGAACTTTTACTGGTACCAAAATACTGGTGAAAGTCTTGAGAATTCCCATACTGACTTTCAGGATTAAAAACACCACAATGCTTTGTGGAAGAGTTTTCATAATCCGTAGCTCTTTCAGACAGACTAGAAAATGGTAAACTACTTCTACTCTGATTGCTGCTAGATTCTTTCCTATCTTTATTTACCCAGTTTACATCTGTAGATTGTCTTTCTCCTGAAAGGGAATCAGGGGCATCAGGACTGAGATTCAGTGCACCTAAAAACATAAAGACAAAAAATAAACACATCTTAAAAAAAATACCATACAGGCAAAGGCCTAAAAGTTTAATCAATTGCAAGCTAGACATAATTACTAAAAATAAGTTTCTAGAAACTCAAATTGAATGATAAAGCATCTTGACTTCTTTAGACAAAGACTGTGATGGCCTAGAGTTAGGAACAGAAAAAAAGCCTAGGATTAAAAAACAAACAAACAAAACACTTGGAGCAGCAATGCATGTATAAGCACGATACACGTCTCTTTCTGTCATTTCTACAACTGAAGTGATGAGAGAGGAGCATGTTAGAAACCCCATCTAGCTCAATTCTGAAACTTATTCTCAACAAAAAAAAGCCCTGGAGTGAAGAGGTACCAAATGAAAGATGGTTAATACTCAAAGATCAGCTCCATGGTCAAGCATGGTCCATCCCAAAGTGCACGAGGTTGGGCAGAAGTGGCCAAACTCACAAAAAGGAAGCGTACAGGGGATGGAAGCAAGGACAGGTAACCTTGGGAGAAATGCAGAGAAATCATGAGAGCATCCAGGAATGAAGTTTGGAAACCTAAAGTCCAAATGGAATTGAGTTTGGTCAGGAACATCAAAGATGACAAGAAGGGCTTCTGTAAGCACAGAGGTGACTAAAGGAAGACCATGGAAAATGTGGGCCCACTGCTGAACAACAAGAGGAACGTCGTTACACAGAACAGGGAAAAGGCTGAGGTACTGAAAGCTTTCTTTGTCTTGGTCTTTCCTAGAAAGACTGGCTTTCTGGAATCCAGGCTCCTGGGGACCAGGGGAAAAACTGCAGCAAGGAACATGTATCCTTAGGGGAAGGAGATCAGGCCAGGGCATACTTAACTGGACATACGTGCTTCTGTGGTCCCTCCTGATGGGATGCACCCACAAGCTCTGAGGGACCTGGTATCACTGTGAGGCCACTCAAAAATCCTTGGTGACTCAGAAGTTCCTGGATACTGGAGGAAAGCAAATGTCCCTCCTACCTCTAAGGAGGAAGGCACAGAGAGCTACAGGGCAGTAAACCTCACCTCAGTTCTGGGGAAGGAACAGCTGATTGTGGAATTTCCAGGCACATGAAGGACAAGAAAATCATGAGGTCACCATGAAGTCACCAAGAGGAAGTCATGCTTGATCAACCTGACAAGCTTCTCTGATGGCCAGATGGATGAGGGGAGAGCAGTGACTACTGTCTACCTGGACTGCAGTAAGGCCTTTGACACTGTCCCCCCAGAAGATCCTTACAGACAAGCTGTTGATGTTTGGGCTAGATGGACAGACAGTGAAGTGGGCTGAAAACTGGGTGAATGGACAGGCCCACAGGGTGGTGACCAGTGTCACAAAGTCTAGTTGGAGGACCGTAACTAGCAGTATACCTCAGGGGCCATTACTGGCTCCAGCTGTTTTTAACATCTTCTTTAATGACCTGGATGATGGGGCAGAGCATACCCCCAGCAAGTTTGTAGATGACACAAAACTGGTAGGAGTGGCTGATTCACCAGGGGGTCATGCTGCCATCCAGGGGACATTGACAAGCTGGAGAAATGGGCTGGCAGGAACCTCATGAAGTTCAACAACGGGAAGTTCAAAGTTCTGCACCTGGGGAAGAACCACCCAAGGCCCATTTTGGGGTCATCCACCTAGAAAGAAGCTTTGCAGAAAGGGACCTGGGGGACTAGTGGACACCAATTTGTATGTGAGTCAGCAATGTGCCCTTGTGGCTAAGAAGGCTAACGGTATTCTGGGCTGCAACAGAAATGAAAAATGAAATGAAAATACTGCCAGCAGGTCAACAGAGGTGATCCTTCCTCTCTACGAAGCACTGATGAGGCCACACCTGGAGTACTGCACGCAGTTCTGGGCTCCTCAGTAACAGAGATACACCAGCATACCTGAGTGAGTCCAACAATGGGCCATGAAAATGATGAACAGTCTGGAGCATCTCTCCTCTGAAGGAAGGCTATGAGAGTTGGGACTGTTCAGCCTAGAGATAAGGAGGTTCAGGAGGGATCTTATCCAAGTATGTAAGTCCCTGAAGGGGAGAGGGGTATAACAGGGATAGAGCCAGGCTCTTTTTAGTGGTGCACAGTGAAAGGACAAGAGGCAACAGGTCCAAAACTGAGACACAAGAGCTTCCTTCCCTCTGAACATTAGCAAACACGCCTTCACTGTGTGGGTGCTTTTTGAAAGCACCTTCCAAATGACATGCAAATTTGAAGAAACAGATGGAAAACCATAAACCAGATATAAAACACCTCAGTAATATTAATAATTAAGATTTTTTTTTAAAAAATCATCCATGAATAGGATTCCTATTCTTACTGCCAGCTTTTACATTGTAAAAAAAATAATCCAGAGAAATGGTAAATTCTACTAACTCAATTGATTACTGTCTGCCAAGACAAGAAACAGCAGAACACATACAAAAATACAATAAACAGTGGCTAACCATGGCTCAGATTTCCTCTGACAGTTAAATGTAAATACATAAATCTCCCAAGAGAAAGGAAACATCTACAGCTAGATTCTAGCCTGTATTTCTATAAAATAATCAAAGAAGGTTCATATTCTCAGCACGTTACATTGAATGAAGAGCCATTAAAGAAGGTGTTTTAATAATAATCCTGAGGCATCCAGCTCAAAATTTAGCAGTCAGTCAGGCAATCACTGGTTATTACATGCTTTGTTTATATACTAGCTCCCAGGAGAAGGCCAAGTTCATTTCAGGGCAGACAGATGTCATCAGTTTCAAACCAAGGCCTGCAGCAAAACCTTTACCAACACCCACAGAGGGAAGGGGGGGCAGTAACACAGGAGAGTGGAAGTTGGAAACACAAATGCAGTCCTTTCATCCATGCTCCTGATCAAAGGGAAGGGGATTGAAAGGGCCAGTTCAATCTAGCCAACCAAGAGATGCTTACAGGACTGGTGCCACAGGCAGGGCTTTGGCTACTTAGACCATGGGACTGGCTTTGAGAAGCCTGGGCTGCTGGGGGCTGATGGGGTCCACCTGTCAGAGCATCTTTGAAGAGCATCTGTGGTGACAGGCTTGCCAAGCTGGTGAAGAGGGCTTTAAACTAAAGTTGCTGGGGGAGGGGAACCTCAATCCATCCTGCTCCTCCCAGTTCGATGCTGGTGTCAGCGATAGATGCCCACCCAGAGCCTGGAAAAGGGTCACGGGTCAGCAGGAGAGCACCTGAGGAGCAGCACAAAGGAATTTCGGCCACTCCAGCAAGTAAGCTTCATTCAGGGGCCCAACGTAAATGCCTCTATGATAATGCAGTAGCATGGGGAATAAGAGGAGTTAGAGATGTACACACGTCTGCAGGGCTGTGACCTCACTGAAACTACGGAGGTATGGTGGAACAGCTCCCACAACTGGGGTGTTGGAATGGAAGGATACAGGCTCTTTAGGAAGGACAGGCAGGGGACGTGAGGAGGGGGTGTCACCCTCTGTGTCAATGAGCAGCTGGAGTGCATGGAGCTCTGTTAGGGGATGCACCCAAAATGGTGCAGTTTAGGATCCTGAAGGCAACGAGGAGGGAGCACAGCCAGCTCACCACCCTGGACCTCAGGAGAGCAGACCTTGGCCTCTTCACAGATCTGCTTGGTGCAGTACCATGGGACAACACCCTGGAGGGAAGAGGAGCCCAAGAAAGCTGGTTAACATTCAAGCTAAGGCACATGGGAAATAAGGAGGTAATTGGTGACAGCCAACAAATCTGGTGGCCTTCAGGGACAGGGTTACAGCATTGGTGGATAGGGGAAGAGCAACTGATGTCATGTAGCTGGACTTTTGCAAATATTTGATGCTGTCCCACTCAATATCCCTGTCTGGACTCAGGAAACATGGATTTGACAAAGAGACCACTTGATTGATAAGGAATTGGCTGGATGGTTGAACTCAAAATGTTGTGGTCAACAGCTCAATGTCCAAGTGGAGATCAGTGGCGAGTGGTGTTCCTCAGGGGCCGTACTGGGACCAGTGCTGTTTAACATCTGTCAGTGACATGGACAGAGGGATTGAGTGCACCCTCAGCATGTTTGCTGAAGACACCAAGCTGTGTGGTGTGGTCAACAAGCTTTAAAGGGAAATAATCCACTGGTATGTAACAAATTCAGGTAGCTACCTTTTCAGGTTAGTAAATTTCATGAAGCCTTAGGCCACAGTAATTGCTCCGTACCACCTGAACCTGGTATTCAGTGGTGACTGAGGAACAGCAAGCGGCATCGTGTGGGGGCCTGGGTGGTGCTGATGGGGAAGGAGGGGGGATGTGCTGACTAAGGATGGTGCCAGATGAGAGCCTGCCCTGGTAGATAGCAGAAGCCATCCTGCCCTGCAACAAAGAACCACCAAGCTGAAGGAACATAACATATATGCATTGAGAACTAATTTGACTATAGTAAATATTGTAAAGGTATGTAAGACTGTACAGGAGACAAAGACTGTACACGTATAGGAAGCCAGGGAAAGTTTTGAGTGGGGTCCCTCCTTAGAGTAACCCAGCTCAAGCTGATACATGGGTATCATTAAGTTTTCACTGAATTAAATAAGACTTCACTCTATGAGTGAATTTTGGATGCAAGAGGAAACCCACTCTAGTAGGGCAAACAACAGGTTCCCCCTAACACGCTGCAGAGAACAGATGCCATCCAGAGGGACCTAGACAGGCTTGACAGGTGAGCCCAGGTGAACCTCCTGCAATTCAACAAGGTCAAGTGCAAGGGCCGGCACCTGGGCTAGAGCAGTCCCAAACACAAATACAAGCTGGATGGAGAATAGATTGAGAGCAGACCTCAGAAGGACTTGGGGGGTGTTGGTGATGAGGAGCTCAACACGAGCCAGCAATGTGTGCCTGCAGCCCAGAAAGCCAACCGTATCCTGGGCTTCATCAAAAGAAGCGTGGCCAGCAGGACAAGAGAGGTGATTCTCCTTTTCTACTCTGTTCTTGTGAGCCTGCATTCAGCTCTGGGGTCCCCAGCACAAGAAAGACGTGGACCTATCAGAGCAAGTCCAGAGGAGGGCTGCAAAGACGATCAGAGGGCTGGAGCACCTTCACTATAGAGACAGGCTGAAGGCGCTGGGGTTGTTCAGCCTGGTGAAGAGATGGCTCCAAGGAGACCTTACAGCAGTCTTCCAGTACTTAAAGGGGGCCTACAGGAAAGCCAGGGAGGGACTCTTTGACAGGGAGTGTAGTTATAGGACAAAGAGTAATGGTTTTAAACTAGAACAGGGCAGATTTTGATTAGATTTTAGGAAGCAATTATTTACTCAGAGGGTGGTGAGGCACTGGAACAGGTTGCACAGAGGACCTGTTGATGCACCACCCCTGGAAGCATTTAAGGCCAGGCTGGACGGGACTTTGACCAACCTGGTATGGTGGAAGGTGTCCCTATCCACGTTGGGGAGGGTTAGAACCAGATGATCTTTAAGGTCTCTTCTGACCCAAACCATTTTATGATTCTGTGACTCAAAGCAATTCAAGTTCTGAAAGGTTATTTCTGAAGATAAGTGACAGCATACAGTGTGTACACATCAGTCTATTTGTAGACAACACCAGATATATCCAGATACAAAATAGTCCAATCAGCTGAACACAAAAGCACACACAACAGGGAAGACACACTGCAGATCTTATAGTACCTGTTTTATACTGTACCAGGAAAAAAAAAAAGCAAAAAAAGAATGGTACATTATGGAAATCCAAAGCTTTTTGATAGCTTTGGAAGCATACAACATCTTCCTCACAGAACAACCTCAATCTTTTCTGTCTTCTCTGGGCATTTTATATAACTGTATTCAACTACATCATGCTATAATTTTCACAGACAACGCAGATTTGCAAAAGACTGGATTTCTTTCTCAACAGGAATGATATTGTTTCAAGCTTAAAGAACCAAGCAGTGGGACCCATTTTCATGCAAAACAAACTGCCTGTCCGAAACTTACTATTTATTCCAACTGTGACAGCTCATCTATTAAAAGATATGTTCCCTTCCCACAACTCCTTCCAGAAATTAGAGAAAGAATGACACACAAAAGCACCACTATCATGGAATCACTGAATGGCTGAGGTTGGAAAGGAACTCTTCAGATCATCCATAGCCCAAACACCCTGCTCGAGCTGTGCCCAGTCAGGTTTGAAACACCTCTATGGACAGACTCCACAACCTCTCTGCAACCTGTTCTAGACCACCCTCACAATGAAGACTTCTTGTGTTCAGACAGTACATGAACTTTGACATTTACCCTTCACTCAATACCACTGAGAAGAGCCTGGATCCATAATTACTTACTTACACTCTCCAGATCCTTCTCTTTTCCAGGCCACACAGTCCCAGCTCTCTCAGTCTCTCCCCTTAATGAGTGATGCTCCCATGCCTTAATCATATTCGTAGCCCTTTGCTGGACTTTATCCACTAAGGGAAATCTTCCTCGTAGTGGGGAGCCCAGAACTGGACACAATACTACAGTTGCAGCCTCACCAATGCTGACTACAGCCTCCCTTGACCATTTGGCAACATTCTTCTAAATGCAGTCTGGGTTACTGGCGACCTTCTTTGCAACAGAGGTTCATTTCTGGCTCATGGTCACATTGTAACAACTTGTAACATGAAGGACAACATGAAGGACCCCAAGGTCCCTCTCTGCAGAGCTGCCTGCCAGCCTGTTGGCGCTCAAAGTGTATTAGCTCATATTGCTATGCTCTTCTCTCTTTACGTGACTGTCCAAATTCAACGCACCTACATTTAGAACAAAATATTAAGTTTCGGCTGGCCCCCAAAAAATCTGTAATGTTTATTAAATACAAATAGAAACTTTCATTTGGGATGTCTCTTCCAGGTGCACAAGGCTGGAAACTGGAAAGGTATACCAGCATGACAAATCACTCCACAACTGTCTTGTTCATTATATTCTTCCCCTGGATCTCAATAACCATTCACAATTATCAAAATATCCTGTTCAGGTTGCACATGTGCCATGACCTAAACCAGCCAGTCTTTGACCTCAACTGCTTCCCCTGGTATAACCTGAGACCAGAAAAAATTTTCCCATTTAATCTCTCAAAGTCAGGCTGTCCATAAAGTTCTGCACTGGGTTCACATGGCAAGGTTTTGGTAGCGGGGGGCTGTAGCGGTGGCTTCTGTGAGAACAATCCAGAAGCAACCCCACGTTAGATAATGGACCTGGTGCCTGCCAGAGCCGTGCCAATAAGTGATGTTGTTTGCGCCTCCATGAAAGTATATTTAAAACAGTGGAAAAAAAAAAAAAAAACCTGCTGCAGAACAGCAGCTGGGAGAGTGAGGAGTGAGAAACAGCCTTGCAGACACCAAGGTCAGTGAAGAAGGAGGGGGAGAGGTGCTCCAGGTGCCGGAGCAGAATTCCTCTGCAGCCTGTGGTGAGGAGCGTGGTGGAGCAGGCTGTCCCCCTGCAGCCCATGGGTCCCACATGGAGCAAATCTCCACGCTGCAGCCCACGGAGGAGACCATGGTGGAGAAGGCAGACCTGCACTGGAGGAGGCTGCGGCCCGTGGAGAGCCCCCGCAGGAGCAGGGGTCTGGGAGGAGCTGCCCCCACCCATGGGGGACCTGTGCTGGAGCAGTTTGCTCCTGGGGGATGGACCCCATGGGACAGAGCCACATTTGGAGCAGTTCTTGAAGAGCTGCAGCCTGTGGGAAGCCCACACCAGATCAGTTTGGGAAGGACGGCATCCCGTGGGAGGGACCCCACGTGGAGCAGGGGCAGAGAGGGACTGTGAGGGAGCAGCCGAGATGAAGTGCTGTAGACTGACCACAGCCCCCATTCCCCTGCTCTACTCAGGGGGAGGAGGTGGAAGAGGGTAGATGGGGGAAGGCATTTTTGGTTTATTTCTTTTGTTTCTCACTTCTCTGGCTTGTTAGTTACAGGCATTAAATCATACTATCTCCCTACTCTGAGTCTGTTTTGCCCGTCACAGTAATTGCCATCTCCCCATCCTTATCTCAACCCTTGAGGCCTTTTCATTTTATTTTCTCTCCCTTTCCCTTTGAGGAGGGGGAGTGAAACAACACCTGAGATGGAGCTCAGCTGCCCACCCGAGTAAAACCACCACAATTTCCTAGACAAAAGCTATTTCACATCTTAATATCACAGAAACACAAATCCAGAATTAGCTAAGAGATGAGTCTCAATGACACAATACGTATTACCATGGCAAGGAACAAACTCCAGAACTTGATGCCATGTGACAATACCTGGGTTAGCTTCTGTATTTTAAACCAAATGCAGAAGCAGTGAACAGCCCAGGCTAATTTACCATTTTTAGTAACACAGTTTAGCTCAATACAATTATATAAGGCTTTATTCCAATGCATATGCACTGCAGAAAAGGTTTCAGCACCTGAGCTGACTCACAACCTGACAGCACAGAGATGAACAGACAAGCTGCCTGCAGTAGCTCCTCTTTACTAGTCCGAAACTATCAGACTACTCTGAACGTGTCACAGGCCCACATCAAGGCTGTGGACCTATTTCCATGCCATCAAAAACGAACTCAAATGACTTTTCCCTCTTCGCTCACTGCCTGGGTGCTGAGAACAGAGAAGAAGAGGTTGAAGGTAGTATTAGCGGTATAGGCTAATGATATCCTTAGTCTGAATTAACTCCAGAATCATATTTTAACAGAGATTCATATTACAACATTTTACAAGATTTGTATTTTCTTCTTTACCCCCAGCCATGAGTGCCAGGACAGTCCACCTGGCAGAGATTTAACAACCTTATTGACAATGAATGTAGTTAGCTGTCAAGTGAGCCCAAAGTAATACTGAGTACCTGAAAAGTCTACCCAGACTGAAAGAAAAGGAAATGATGAAAGCACTACATATCATGAATGACTGCAGGCAGGTGTTATTTCTAGTTACACGCCCAGGACACAATTCAGCAGGAGTCCTGCAGCTAAGTGCCCACAACAGCACCGGGCAAGTCATTAAAGGTGAGGCTGGGATGTGCCTGGAGAGGCTGCTCCCTCCTCCTCCTCAGCAATCACAGCCAGTGAACTTAGTTTGATCCTGCACCTTAAAAAACATCATTGGGGGGGGGAAATAAATAAAAAACGAACTTTTTTTCTTATCGTGGTGCTCAGTCCCGTTGCAGGCTCAGCACCCAAGCTCCTCTCGGCACGTGGGAGGTCGGTGGGACGCTGGAGGGGGGTGGGCGAGCACTCGCTAGCAGCCCCCTGCACAACCCCACACAACGCCTTAAATAAGGCTTTTAACCCTACGAGCTCCCGTGCGACCGGGGCAGGCCACCGGGGGGCAGGGGGAGATGCGGGCAGGCGAAGATGGCGGTGGTCAGAGCAGCAGCAAGTTTCCCAGGGACCAGACACCTCCGTGACTTTATTATTATTAATTATTATTTTATTATTTTATTATTTTGGTCCCTGTTGTCCCATCACGCCGCCGCAACTCGCCCCATCTCCCCCCAGCCCACAGCCCTCCTCGGGACCCTCCAAGTTGCGGTACAACAACAGGTGGTGCCGCGGCCATAACGGCCCCTAACGGCCCTAACGGCCGTGCCCTTCGCCATGCCGGGCTCCAACCGCTCCCCCACCCGCCCCCCCGCTCCCAGCGGCCGCACTCACCTGCGCCCAGCCGCGCTTCCGCCATGCCGCCGCTCCCCCCCCGCCCCCGCCCCGGGACCCCGCCGCCGCCGCGCAGGCGCAGTGGCCCCGCAGCGCCCCTCCCCGCCGAGTGCGGCTCGGCACGCGCAGCCGCAGCGGGGCTGGAGCGGGGAGGGAGGGGGGGGGCGGAGCCGGGGGCGGGAGGGGGCGCGAGGGCGGGAGGCTGAGGGGAGGGGAGGGGAGGGGAAGGGAAGGGAAGGGAAGGGAAGGGAAGGGAAGGGAAGGGAAGGGAAGGGAAGGGAAGGGAAGGGAAGGGAAGGGAAGGGAAGGGAAGGAAGGTGACCAGTGACAACGAAGTATCAGCGCTGGCAGTGAATTGTCTGCTCGCTTGGCAATAAACTTTGTGTCTGTGTTGTCTTTGCCACCGCACTGGTTGCCTTCCAGAGCCTCAGCTAACTTTGGCGTGTGCTGGGAAGCCCACACAAGGCGTCCCATGATGCCGTCAGTGCTGCAGGCAGATCTTGTCGTGCTCCAGCTCCAAATGCTCCCCAGAACTGCGTGCTTTGTCATAATGCGGCTCTCGGCACCAGTGTTGAGCCATTGTATGATTCACACTTCCCTGCAGAGGTTTAGTGCCATGGTTACAGTACATCTACAGAACGGTTCTCTACTTTTGCCGTTGCGGTGTAGCTCCGGAGTCCTCACAGAGCTGCTGATCTTTTTAAGCACTGCCGAGTAACTTCGCAGTGCCATAGCAACTGCAGCTCTGAAGAACAGCACCGCCGAGGAACACGACTGCACGCAGGGTCTGCGTTCTGCCCTCCGCACCCTCACCCGTTCTCAGAACAAGGTCCAATCCCTGACATAGTTCTACTCTTAGTAAAGTTCACGGCTTGAAACACCTTAAAGAAGCCGTGGGCCTTTTGCAGAAACTCTAGTTGCTGAAAGGCACCCCCCCAGACTCCTGCCACTGCTGCCAAGGAAGTTTGCAAACCAGTACAGCAACAGCCTTATGAATGTGCTACATGCTTTGCCATGGATTATGAATACATATGAAGTGCTTTGCCATATGTAAAAATTTTTCTCATCCAAGTTAGCAATAAAAGTATGTGGTAGCAGCAGAGCTAATGCATCCTCTCACAGGTGATGCGTGGTTTTCCTGCTGCTGCTTGATTTAGTGGAGGACTGTTAGTGTTAGGTCAGAGGTTGGACTCGATGATCTTGAGGTCTCTTCCAACCTAGAAATTCTGTGATTCTGTGATTCTGACAAGATATATGCAGTAGTCCTCTGCTTCCCATGTTCTTTGTCACTACTGTAGAAACATGACCGTAACACTCACATAGAACTGCTACAGATTTTTAACATTGCTTTACATGAATACCAGAGCACTACCACTTCAGTATCCACTCTCTTTTTTGCTATCACCAAAAAAATGTTGTGGTATGGAAAGCACTATAGGAATTTGCGCCGATGTGTGCTGCTGCAAAAATGCCAGTTATTAGGTCTACACAGAGCTGCTGTGGATGAAATTTTTACACAGGTTTGATTTAGCAGCAATTTAAGATTTATTAATACCTTTATGGTAAATCACAAATTAGATTGTATGATTTTTTTTTTTCCTTAGCAGCACTTAATCATCAGTTAATCATTAGCCTACTTAATGCAATAACTCAGTCATGTTTGCTAAAATCAAAATAGTGACGTAGTTAAAGATTCATAAATGGCAAGGTTCACACAAGACTTATGGCAAGGTATTGAGGATTTCTATACAAAAGGGTATTGGGGATTTATATGGTTGTCCATTTTCCCTTTATAGCTAAACGGTTCTTTTTTGTTGTTGTTTGTTTTTTTTTTTCCCCTTTCTTCTCTCAAATTTGTATTGGGCCAATTCCATCCACTCCTTATAGCCTAACATAATTGTCCATCATTTCTGTGTAGGCATTTGATTTTATTCTCTTCTTTAGTTTGGCCAAAATAGTCTTTTTTATCTTTTCGTCATCTTTTCTCCTTTTCAGTGCAGGGATAGGTGCAACGATCTCCCCACTAAATCTTACTCCCGCCCTTAAAACATATATATTTTTTTTCTACTTCATCCTCCTTGAATATTTCTCTTCCCTTCCCTGCACCGTTTACTACTCATTTCTTTTCTCACTGGCTGCTTTTTTCCATCTGACCAGCATGACTGTCAGTCATAGGACACACTGCTCCATGTGGTATGTAGAGCTGGGAGCTGAGAGTCAGCAAATTCCACAATACTCACACAAGAAGAGCAGAGCAGTTTCAATAACACTTCAGGTTTGATAACAACTCAAGCAAGGGGCCAGGTTGTCCAGCAAGCCTGTAGAGACAGGACAGCCCAAACCACAAATCAAGCCAGTGAGTGACAATGTAGGTACAAGCATACCTTCAACATAGATCAGGCAGACACTAAAGGTGAGAGCGTGGATTTTAAAGCAGCTCAGGAGAGAAGGAATGGCGACAGCCTTTAAGGATTCTCAAGGCCTGATGGTTACTTTTATAAGTTAGTGTTGAACCCACAGAGCCAAACCCCCAGGATGGTGAGGAGGGACAGGAGAAGATGCCCTGAGAGCCCTGATAGCCACAGATCTATTTGCTGCAAGTATGCTAGTAAATAGCATTTCCATCGAGTGAGAGGGGAGATGAGGTGGGGAAGCTTACAATCCTTGTGGCCAGAAGAAGTAGCGTGATGCAGTAATGTGTAGGGGTACACAAGGAGGCATGGGAAGAGTTCTGAGGTGCCATGGACTCAGTCCATTGCAGAACATAGAGATGTCCTGTCTCCATTGACCGTTCTTTCAATACATAAGGCAAAAAGAGCCCACGAATGTGTGCTTTCATTCAAAATAAATAATACAAAAGGAAACTACCTAAAAATGAAGAAACTGGTTAAAAAAAAATAAATGAGTGCCATCTAAAGTTACTGTGTTTGAGAGCTACATGGAGGATTGATAAGGATGTGATATTGGAGGCTCAGAGCTAATGTTTACCAGGGGAAAAAGAAACCTGCCAGTGGTTAAACAGCAGGGACAAGGGAGCCTGTTGCTGTGGACAGCTCTTCCGAAGCATGCTTCCAAAAGAAAAAATTGGGTCTAAAATTGAAAATAGAATCCCAAATTGTGATAGATGAAATGTAAACTACACCATGAGACAGACCAAAAGGTGTTTGTAAGAGAAGAACTGCCTAACAGTTCTACTGAAATTCTAAGGAGTCAACAAGCTTGTGGCTAAGGGAGATAAAGTTGCCTATGGATTTCTGGAAGGTATTTGAAAAGGTCATTCATCAAAAGCTCTTGAAAGTTACACTGCCAGGGAATAAATACCTGCAGGGGTAAATAGCTGGCTAAAATGGCATGAAATTGCAGTAGAAATCAATTCCAATTTCACAGTACGAGGAAGCCAACTGTAAAGATCCATACAGATGTGTTTGTGAATGCGATTTGTGCGGCATATTTATTGTGCCTCTGGAAACAGTGTCAGAGTATGCTGATGGTACAATGTTTTTTAGGGAAATGTAGGCAATAGCAGAATGAGGAGAACTGCAAGCAGAAGTGTCTTAGGATACTGAGTGTATGAGCAAAAAATGGCAGATGGAATTCCGGAAAGTTAAATGTAAAGTAGTGCATATGGGATAAAAAAGTCCTATCTTCATATTTAAAAGGAAGGGCCCTGAACTGTTGTTAAGTTATTACAGGTAGTTGTATGCAAATCTCTTCTCTTTGCCCAGTAGTGCAAAAGAAAGCAAATTTAAATATTAAGTGCTTCTAAGAAAGCAGTAAAGAATAAAATAGAGAAAACACCAAGACAGTGTATAAACTGATAAATATAATGCACAAACGTGGTTCTTCCATCCCAAAAAGTATATGGAAAAATGGGGAAAGGCTGATGAAAGGGCAGTAAGAAAGGGGATCAAAAGCATGCAATGACTTCTGTACAAAGAATGACTTACATGTACATAAACCCTCTGGAAAATAATGTATTTAGGAGTGGGAGGGGGTCTGTAACTTGCTAGAGGTCTGTAACTTGTAGAGGGAGGAATCAGATGAGGACTGACCCTACCATCCTTTGACAGCTGATAGCAAATAAAAGATTGTTTGCAGTACAGTTGGCCAAGCAGCATTGAATGAAAGTAAAATGTCAAGATAAAGCTGCACTTGACCTCACAAGTTTGGTTGCTTTGATGGTCCAAAGAAGTTAGAAGATGAAAGAAAACACACTGGTGGGGTGTACACATGATATTAGTAATACAACGGTCACTTTGGAAGATCTGAGTGTGCACCCCCAATGTGCCACACAGAAAAGTTAAGGCCATGGGTGCATATATTTTTTTACATGATACTGTAATATTATTTATAACAAGGTAATGATAATATAATTGCCTGATAATGTCTAAATAAAAAAGCTGTTTCAAGTCTTTCCTAAATGAGCTGTTTCCTTACTATTGTTGCACCCGGGGGAACTGGTAGGGATTTTCCTTAGGCAAGTAAAAGTGAAGTACCAGCTCAATAGATTACACTTCCACCCAGAAGTTTGTCTCTTTAGTGAGAAGAAAATAATTCTATCTGCCTCTGTTTCTGTTCTAGAGATCTGAAGTACTTTAGAGACCTATTAGACTGCTCAGGATTATCCATGGGGGAATAAACACAAGTATCTGAAATCAGCAAGAGCAACTGAAACAAGATTCCATTGAATGACTGCATAGAAATTCTGCATATTAAGTCCCTCTGCATATCATGAAAGCAAGGATGGGTGGACTTGGCACGTATCCATTGAGTAATATTATTAACTTAATATTTTTTTGACATCAGATAAAACATTTGGATATCATCAAAGCATTTGAAAGTGTTTAATGTAGTGAAAAATACAATGAAAACATTTAACATACTTGTTGTGAGATCAGTTGAAAAGATAAGAAAGAATATTGGAATGATCATTAATAAATTATATAAATGAAGTTCCTTGGCCTGATATCCCTCTCACTTGTTTTTCTTCCCTTTAACCAGAATCTCGCATCACTAGAGTTCTTGTATCAATATTAAGGAATGCTTTAAGCATCAAAATACTGTGTTTTCTTAAATGAACACTGTTAATTACTCAGGCACCCTAACAAATTTCTTAAAATTTG